ATGAGTATAGTTACTGTTGAAGTACAAAATCCTATTTCATACACCGAGTGCCTTACGTCTAAGCTTGGAACAATGGAATGACAACTGCGTACAACGAATCTGACCATTTATATATTATTATCATCATCTGTCAATTGTGCTCTACAGAAACAGCTTTAACGTTACTTGACAGCTGCAAAATTCCGCCGGCTTCGCATACATATATTTATATATATATATACCTATATATATATATATATATATATTAAAAATGAATTATGAAAAAAATCGGCTTAAACGTTCGCAATAGACTCATCCGATTATGAGCATATTGTTGTCTTCGATCGCACAGCACGCCAAAGAGTATAAAAACTAGATATTTTATACCGAATCAACGCGCTTCTTTCCTTGGCTAGACCTTGAACTTATACCCCGTAAAATGACCTCTACCGTAAGGCCTTAGTAGATTAAAAACACGCTGCAAACTTCGCAACTCTTGAACCGTTCAATCCGGTTGACGATTGTCACCTCAACTCAAATAATTGCATCTAAATATTATGGTTAACTTTATATATATATATATATATATATATGACCATAGATATGGTTACTATATAGAAGAGCCATACCAAGAATGGACTTTTTTTAATCTAAAAAAATATGGGGTTTTACGCATTTATTCAGAAAATGACTATTAACTATGTATACCTAAACTAAATTTATTCATACTATTTTCTACAAAATTATATGTCACTTAACTTTTAAGAAATGTTAATATCATAAATTAGCAAAATTTTACATCCGACTTAACGAAAATAAAAATACAATATTATAGTTAACTATTGACTCGTTCAACAAAAATGTTGAAGCCGCCTGAGAACAGAAATTATATTTTCTCTTCAAAAAATGCAGATAATATATTTGGAGAGGGGGAGGGGTAGATAAAAATATCGTGACGTAGTGTTTCTTGGTAAATATTTGCCACCTCGCTCTTACTGTGTGTGTGTGTGTGTGTCTTAACTTTTAAGAGCAAAAATGTAAACAACGTTTTCGAACGGCGGAAACGTTCAGACTGGGAGGTAGGTTTTCTCGACGCAAACTAACCTAAGTACACATGTAAACATTTTACTTTTAAGCCGTATTTACCGTGCGTGTTTGAGATTATAATGTGCACAAAGGTGGTGCCCGTTGTTTTCTCTCGAGACTCTGCCAATAGAAACAACACTGCGCACACACACGCACATACTTACACAGTCGGAAGTTTTCATTTTAAGTTTAACTATACTACATAATACTATAACACACAATGCATTATGCACATACCTATCAGCCGTTAAAGTATACGCATGTGCACGTAGACAGACATTTTTTTATATATTATTATTTTCCTAATGAAACAATAGATTGTATTATTATTTATTATTATTATAATAAAGGTGGTAGGTAAGTGGCGACAAGGCGACGGCGGTGGTGCTCAAGTATAGACTACAATATTATAATAATAACGTGTGACGAAGAAAATCGTCTCGTCAATCATTTTTGGAGGTCCCCGGGCCCGGGACTCCCACCGTCGCCGGTCTAATAGAGATAAATCACGTCGAAATAATTACAATCTATACACACAGCGCACAGGCCCCAAAACTCGCGTGGTGTTACATAGGATGGAAAAAAATAAAAATGCTTTCATCCATTATTAAAACACAATGCGCCGCACATTGTATAGGTATTCATGCACACATACTATAGTATAAAATATAATACTTATATATATGTATGTATTTTCTTTCCTACGAACAATATTAATTTCCTGCGCGCCATATGGGTTCCCGGTTGTTCTGATTCAATTTACAGCTGGGGCTTAGCGCGCTGCTGTTACTTGTATATAATAATAATAATACTGCTATATGAGGGCTCGTCGCGTCGCATAGTTAACCCAATAACATAATAATGAGAGCCCAGGGTCATTTACCCCCTCGTTGTGTTGTGCGAACGTCAGCCGAAGCCCCGCGAGGCGCACTGGAGGAGGTGCGGTGGTGAGCCGATACGGTGGTACGAGGGTGCGAGAGAAGGTGCGGTTGCCGGAACAACAAAAAGAAATCTTACAAGAGTAAAACCCGAGTAGAAGAAGCAGACAATTTTCAAAACCGTGGCTACACAACAAAAAGAAAGTCAGCTCGAAAAAAAATCTACCACCTAACCACCGGCGTTTGTGAATTAGAAATTGGGAAGCCAAACTCGGTGTTCTTTTGAGTTTGTTTAAGTACGAATAATAATTGTTACTCGTCGGCTGTGCAAATACGGAAGAAACCCGACAATTGAGACGAAAAAAATCAAAACGACAACAGCTATTAACTATGTATTTCCCAGCGACAAGTCAACTTTTTTTTATACAAATGTGGTTAGCGAGTCTTCAATTGACAATAATTTAAATTTACTTTTTTTTTTTTTTTTAACTCCTGAAAATATAAATTAATTACTTTAATGATTTCCAGTGTTCTAAAGTCTAAACAACACTATTTAGTTTGTAAACGTACTTGTGTAAGTAAAATAATAATTGTTGAAATATGTATTTAAAAGCATAGGAATACTAATACAATCAAATACTTTTACGATATATTTTATTATCTTATTTTTCTTTGTTTTTTATTAGATACACTTTGTACCTAATATTTTTGATGAATTCAAAAAATAAAATGAAACCAGTGCATTATTTAATGGAACGACAAAAAAAATTGCAAGTTTGAATTTTTTATAAGTATAAATATTATTATTAGCATAATAATATTTATGATTAACTATTAAGGTATTGTACACAAACTTTTTTTGTAAAAATGTTGCGATACTATGCGGTTTTCACTAGACAGGAAGAAGTATGATATTGCTGAAAATATTTGCACCTCACTTGGACCAAATCAGAGGGAAATTTCAAAAATTTTAATTTTTTTAAAATAAAATATGAATATGAAATAATAGATAAGAAGCCTCATGACTGTACTTAAAATACTTCATACTTAAACTAATTTAAATTGTAAAAAACCGTAAGTTCAATGGATTTAAAGTTTAGAAAATAATTCACAATTTTTAGCTGATACATGCATTTAATAAAAATAGACAATGATGTTTGTTTATTAAAGTTCGATGACACTTATTCAACCTAACCAAACCAATATGTTATACTTCAAAAAAGGTTTTTACTTTTTCGATGGTTAATGTGTTTTCGTTGAATTCGCCAAGTACTCAATAATGTCAAAACCATAACAATGTAAGTTTTTGGCTGTTTGTCGGGTACACTAAAATCACAAGTGGTTCGATGAAAAATGAATTTCATATCAGCTGTGAACAATGAACATGTTACAACCAAACATTTTAGCACTGTACCGAAAAGGGTCATCAAAACTTGAACCACTTGATGTCACTTGTATTTTCAGCTGGTTACCAACATAAGTTAAAATCGAAACGTTACTACTTAAGGTAAATTTTAGATAAGGTGTCTTAGCCTTGTGTAGATTGTCAAATTTTCTGTAAACAAATTCTGCTGGTTTCATATGCAAGCTATTGGCTTACTATAGTTAATGCGATTGATTGTAATTCCATTTTTATATGTTTATCTAACGTAAAATTTTCCATATTGAACACTACGAATCGTATTCGTTGACATTTTTGTACGGAAAATGATTTTTACTACACCTAAACGACTACACCGGTTTAATTTTTACCGTATATTGTATAGTTTGTTCTTATATTAACCAGCTGGTTTCCTAAATCCTTACAAAGTCGTCCGGCTGGAAACTGCATGCAGTTAGTATCCACCTTACACTGTATATGTGCTCTTGAGGAATATTCGAGGGGGCGACTTGAGCCAATCGTTAAAATTTCATTAAATAGAGTCTTTCTTTTTTTGGTCGGTCGTGTGTGAACTTTACTACCTTTTTGTAATCGGAGGGGAAGTCGACGGCGAAACACGAGAAAGTATCCATTGAAAACGTATATTATGGACGAATGAGTATTATTTTTCACATGATCCGCACCGTAATCTGCTGTATAGGAGTCGTTATAATTGGCTTACGGGACGCGCACGAATATACGTTACACGAGACCGCACCGTGGCTCTGGAGGAAAACGGACACGGAGACAAAGACACTATAGTGTTGTCATAAATACTAAACGCAAACCATGTAGATTGCTCGTACACGCACACTGTATAAGCGACGCATAAGTACTTTAAAAACGTACATAAATAATATTATCTCTTAGACATCCGTCTACGATTAGGTTACCTCGCGCAGACCGTATGGTCTGGAGTGAAACGCTAAAGACGTCACACGACAACATCTCTGTACAGTAGAAAATATTATTTTTGCTAATAATAAAGGTGAATTATACATATTGAAGATCGGTTGTTTTTTTTTTCGTATGAAAGACAGTACAGAAATGTCAAGAATTAAATTAAGTGAGTTAAAAAGAGGTAGATAACCCGTTTGGCTTGATACATAGTAATACATAGAGCAAGTGATAAACAGAGTAGGGATATTTAAGTATTTGGGATCAATTATGCAAAATAATGGTAAAATTGAAGAAAATGTGCGAGTTGTGTGACAGAAAGATGCTATTGTGAGGTTGAGCACATCGATGATTTGACATTTGACAAATTTTTATTGACAAAAATACCTCATTCAACAATTTATGACAAATCCATTTTACCAATCTGTAACCTATAACATTATATACTCAATTACCAACATACTATTGATTTAATATAGTACATCGAAAAATAGTGTTTTCGATATAAAACTCAAACATATTAATTTTAGTAGATTTTCAACCCGTCCCAGATAACGAATTCGCCAAGAAACCATCGCATAACGCCAGTGTTGAGCTTTCAAGGCCCGTTAAGCTTACACTATGATGTCGAGCAGATTTTCTATTTAACTAAGCAATTGTTTTTGTAATTAAACGGGGATCGAGTATGCCTCAGAGTAAACAACTTACAGACATAAAATATAAATTTGTTCATCACTTACTTTCGGAAAGCGGACTGTTTTGCTAGAGAAAGCAGACTTATGATAATCGCCCGTCAGTTTCTGTAACAAGTTAAAAAAAAAAATTATTTTTTTTTTTCATACATGTTTGTGATCATTTTAATCTTTCATACATTTATAAAATATTGGCTGTGTGCAACAATTTATTTAACGCGTTAAAAATCGCGTAATTTAATACACGGGAGATTATTTTTCTTTTTTTAATACTGTTAAAAACTTATAATAAAAAATTTCAACGACAAATCCGAGAATTCAGTCGTGGGACAATAAGTCCAATATTGTGTTCAACGAGTACAGCAGTTATAGTAGTTGATTAGTTTAACGTGAACAAGTTTTTTTTTTTTTTATAGCATCCTAAATCGACGTTTAATTTTTTTAATTATTTTTTGTTTATACAGCGATTGTACGAGGGGAAAAAGTGGGAAAGGGACATCTGTCACTGTAAAATAATTATTAGCTGTTGGTTGACAAGTGTATGGATTTGGTTAGATGAAAGAGTTTTATTTTTGGCTTGGGCAACTGTTTAGGTTAGTGTGTACCTACCATGTGTGTATATTTGTTTGTATGCATTTGGGGTCGTTGGGTGTGTTATAAACGAAAGTCTGGTATACCTGTCCTATATTTGCACACGGTTAATTACCACTGTCGAAATTGTGTATAATATTGTTGAATTTTTTCACGGGGACAAGTGAGCCGATTGGCTGTCGCAATATATATAGTAGCACTGAACATACTAAACAAAAATGACTAATTCAATTAGCATACAAATAGAAAACCAATGGCGGTGACGGGTACCTGCTCTGAAGCCGCTTATGTATATATATACATATAGATAATAATAATAATTACAAGTGTATACAATAAACTGCAGGTGCCTCGACCGCACATGGAAACTAGTTAGAACTTAAAATTTTTTTTTTTTTTAGTAGCTCAATTATGATTACAAACGAATTACCGTCGGACCTACCTACAGGTATATTCTCCCACAGGCGTTATTATATAGTAACTCGTTATTATCGACACCGAGCGCAGTGTAGTAAATTTTATTTAATATAATAATATATACTTCAGTATTATTATGCTTAACGGTTATGGGTGTAATTTTTCAAACATCATTATTCATTACCCGGCGGGCGTGTCGTGAAGAACCCTGCACGTGTATAAGTACTGTCGTTATACCCGACAGAAAACCAAATCACTATCTACCAAAATAAGATACCTTACGAAAAGCAATCTGTCCCCGGACTCTGATAAAAAATGACACGGGGAAGATAATTATCACAATACACAGGTGACGGCTATCTTCTTAAGTCTACACCACTGTAATGTTATATCTATGCATTATTATTTTCAGTTATACAAAGATATAAGTTATAACACATAATACTAAACAGGTCTTAACAATATGGTCGTAGACCCTTCTGCTGTTATGTATTCTGTGAAGAAACAGTTCTAGTTTCTAGCAGTGCTAGAAAAAGCTATGATAACAAAAACATATACATAATAACAACTGCTGTTGTGTTGTATGATGTATCAGTATTAACAATTCATTTCCGTGTTTTCTGTCAATAAATAACGGCCAGTTTTTTAAAAGTTATTCTTTGAGTTGAAAGTGATCGGAAAAAAATAACTTTTTAATTTCAAACTCGTTGATTCCAAGTCTTGTCTACAAATGTTTATATTTATCAGCTAAAGGAAGCGCGTCCGGTCGTTTCTGGCAACAGAATTTGGGCGATTACAACCGAATAATTTAATACGCGGGTTTGTAAATGCCACGTCCCTTTTGGTATTCACGTAAGCCGTTGACAAATGGCACAGCCGTAAAGGAAAAATAAATAAATACAAAAGAAAACGTGAACAATGGATAAAAAATGCACGGCCGGTTCCCGCGAGCGCAGTCAATTTAAATGGCTTTTATGAAACGATATAGAGAGAGTAATGACCCGAAATGATGCAGTCGAGTGTATACATACACGATAGCAATGCGCCAGTATATTTTTATATTTATAAAAAGCAATTTCGGTTGCACAAACCGTTCAAATGGAAAGCACGCAAAATTTACTCAAATTAATATTCGAATAAATGCCCGTAAACCGACCGAAAAATAAAAATAAATTATTCACCAGATCAACAAAAACAAATGTCTCTTTGAAAGTCTCTTGTATCTGTACAAATAAATCAAACTTAATATTATAGCCCATGACGGTTGATATTGAAATCGAGACACTCACTTGGAATTGTATTAAAAGTTATACAAAAAAATGTATGGTGAATTATGTGATTTTACTTAATATTTTGCTTGGGTAAGTATTTGTAAGACACCCCAATAAAAATTTAAAAAACGATTTCGCCGGACAGTTTTGATTTTTCAAATAAATGCTTAAATAAAGTGTCTATGTGTTCATCCTTATATATGATATACAACTCTGTTGTGAGGTCATTATGAATGTTAAGTTTCCCCAAATTACAGTACAAGAGGAAGCCTTTAACCGTAGTAAAGGTCAACCGTCAAATTAAGACATTTTAACATTTAATTCATAAACCAAGAATTCATTAGAAACTATTTAACTAGACAACCCGGACTGTCAATGGGTGCACATGCACACGAAAACAAAATTTTAAAAAAACTAGACAATTTAAGGGAATTTGACACGGTTCATTTTTTGGATGTTATTCAAAACAATTCGTTCTAAATAATAGTTCTCTAATTAGTATTTTATAGAAGTTATGAAATGTTGTTTAGTACTGCATTGTAAATAACCAATTTATTAAGTGATAGGCTCATTGCATGCCTAAATAGCTAAAATATTTAAGTACCGGTACATGTATAATTAGTTCCAATGTAGTATTCGTTTATTTAATTGTATTTAAAACTACAGAATTACTATCGCCTATCACTAATAGAAATTAGCAAGCACAGCAGCTATTCTGAATATTTATTAAAATGCAATTTGATACCTGTTATATTCTATACGTTTTGTAATGAAAATTGAAATAAGGTATCACGGGCCATGTTACAAAGTACATTACTAAGTACATACATAAATAATAAGAGTCACCAGCCAGTCGCTTGAAAGAAATGTTATAATTCGGCATTATTTTTTTACCATATTTTATAACAATGACATGACAATTAAAATGATTAAGAACCAAAAGATTTTGTCAATTTTTTTGAAAGGCATCTTTTTTTCAAATTTGTTTATTCACATTTTGTTTTAATTAGTTGAAACCGCATCATATTCTACTTTATTTAAATTATCGTTCAAAACATTTTAATTTAGAGGAAAGAAAATAATATAACTATTTAAAACTTTCAAAACTCTCCCCTGAAAAGTGAATGCTACGCATACAACTTTTTGGATCTAAGCCAAAATTGTGTAATACCTAAATGAATAATATTAATGTTAACACTCGATCAATAAAAAATAAATAAATACAAATTTAAACACGCTAATAAAGAAAGATTTTAATCTTTTAAATCGATTGCTGGTAAACCCCGGCATTAATAGTGAATTTTTTTTTAAGCTCAATGTTGTTACTTTAATAGTTCATAACGGAAACGGGTCGGATTTTGTACACGCCAAGCCTTTTTTAGCTAATCCTCTTATGACCCTTCTGCATTGTGTAACCCCAAATGATTATGTATGTAATATTCGTGCGTTTTGATTAGCACTAAGCCAATAATATTTTTTCTATACAATTTCCTCAGAGTTAAACGGCTTAACATATACAACAAAGCACGCCCTTCCCCGCTAAACGTCATTCGGTGCACACGGAAACTGATTACGGACAAACACAGTTACTGGACCCCGTTTTCGTATTAGATATATTATTTGTTTGTAAAATGAACAAAAGAAAGTAATGATAATAAAGCAAAAAAAATTTGTATTTATTATTATTATAGATTGATTGTTGGTCATTACTCATTACTTATGGGCGATTCCGGTATTAGTGAAACCTTTCAAAAATCAAACGTCCGCTTGTACATTGGGTGGTACCTACCTAAATAATATCAATATAGACAATGTTCAATAATGTTTATCGGGCCTGTACAAGCGAATTTGAAAAAAGGTTATACGACAATGAAAAATGATGGTAGTTTTAAGATTAGAAGCGGCAAAACCCTTTTTTTCCCGTCGATCGCCCCGCCCTGATAGTTTTCAAATTCAGTAAGTAATCCATATTATACCCGGACGAGACAACGTGAAGAATTAATGCATCTCAATACTACCCAAGTATACTACACTGGGGGTGCGCACAGGCCACTGAGGTCACCAAGGGTTCGGGATCGGTTTTACTCAACAAAAATAAATCGAAAAACAAACACAAAGTGACGTTTTTCATATTTTTTACCGGCCAACATCTATTATAATAATAATAACAATAATAATAGCAGGGACTCACTAAAAACACATTTCATATTCCAAGACAAATTATCTAAGTATAAAAAATAAACGCTCCGATGCCAAACTGTACCACAGACTATACGTAATATGACGTGTATTATAAGTATACTCTGTAGATGGCTAGTTCTATTAAATATAATATAAATAAAAATAATTTTACATGGCACAATAAATGTGTTTAATCGTGGTAATCTGCGTTTTTGCGTTTTCCTCGACTACACATTTTGATTGTGATTTTACAATGGTATACAATTTCTAAATATTTACCTTTTTTTATACTTGTTAGAGCTTAATTAAATTTTAAAACTTAAATGGCAATGTATAATATATTCTGTAAAATATATATAATTTAACTTGTTAAATTTAGAATATACTACCGAAATATATTAGGTCCGAGATCAATATAGAGCTTTGTATTGTTGTAAAATTATCACAAAAAAAAATGTCGTACAAATTACCAAATTACTATTATACCATGAAGAACTTGGTTCGATGGTTAAGAACTAAGAAGTCCAGTTACAAAAGTAAAAAAAGAAAAGCCATAAAGTAAATAAAAAATCTTCATAATTTACTTTTTCTTGCTTTCATTTATGTGGCGCTTTCTACCGGTTATATTTAAACAATAATATGTTATGTATTACCGCGGTAGATGGAGCCATGTAAACATGTAATTTGAGTTGATGTATTGATAAGATGTTACATTGATAAGTTATTATTTAGATAAATAATCGTTTTATCATTGAAAAATATGATTGACAACTGACAAGTATACTTGTTTAAACAATCAAACTTCAACCACAGAATATAACGATTAAATGCTTCAACGATTATGCCGAAATCTCTTTCTATGATTAGGTTTTCTTTAATTTTCTAGAAAAATGAGTTTAACGGAATCGAGTTTCTTTCCCATGCCCTCGCAGGGCAATATTTATTCGTCTTCTGTAATAACAACAGTCGAAGGTAAAAATAAAATCCTAATCATATCATCAATGAAGAAGAAAATTATTACAGTCGAACCTGGAATAGAAGACGGTGAAATCGAACCTGTCGCTAAAGAAATAAAATTCTCAGATATTCCAAGTAAAGTAATACAAAAGTAAATAATATGTAACGTGATTATTTAATTGTTGTTACTAACTTAAAATTATCTATTTAAATATATAGATAATGCAGAAATCCTGTCAATTCATTCTTTCAACAAGTCAAAAACTAGCAACGATTTTACTGTTGGCATTACATATTTTAAAGTATGTGAAAACTAAAGTTAACAATTCATTGCGTTCAGACAATTTTACAGATTTATCAATTTAACATACTTACTAACTTTTAATTAAAAAAAAAAAGCAATTTTTCTTTAACTTTTAATGTTAAACGTTTCAAAATGTAGGTAAGTGTGAGGTGCATTATAGTATTCTTTATGTTTTTGTGTATTTCTCCACATCGACTACATTTTTCTTTTCACATAAGCTAACTAAATACTAAGAACTTCAAAAGTAACTGTACAAAACTAGTTATCAACCATTCATTATTTGCTTAGTCGATAATACATTTATCTATTTATAAAAATTTGTTTTCTTAAGCTGTATATTCCTATTTATATTAATTTTTTTACATTTTTATTTTATCATAATAATTATATTTTTAATATTTTTGTGTACTTTTATATTTTTTAAGAAGAATGTAGTGTTATTTACATAAAATCAATCATTTTGTAAATTTATATTGTTTCTAAAAATGCTTAGGTAGCTTAAACTCTATATAAAATATTTATATTCTATAGGGTTTTGTTAATATTTGTAATATAATATTAATAATTCATTTTTAAATACTTGTTGTAGCAACATTTTATAGTGCATTTTTTACTGTGCAATTTATAGTAATATGTTAGTAATAATTAGTTTGCATACATTTTTATTTGTTATAATAAATTTTACATAATTTTCCATCACACAATTTTATAGATGGCTGCAGAAAACAATCATGTAGCATATTTGAATATCTATTCTGGACAATCGGGTTCGTCGTTAGAAGTTCTATCCCAAAATTGTGTAACGATACATTTGAATTTTGTCCCATACCAACTAAACCATGCAGTTTATTCGCACGAAGGTTTTAAGGTAAATAAGCTCTTCTGAAAATATATTGTACATGAATGAGTTTAGCGTATTAATAGTTGTCTTTTTAACAATTAGACTTATTATTATTAATGTTGTTTAGATGTCGTGGTTGTTATCGGGAAGCGACGGGAGAATACACGCTTACAAGGCTGACGAACCAATGCAAGAACAAAATATTGTAAATTATTTTGTCGAGTACCAAGAAGCTGGAGATTCGTCGATATTACGTTTCGATACTAAGTCATATAATAATTATCAAAAGTAACATTAATCTTACTCGAAAGTTAACGCATTAGTCAATTTGAACAAATTTAATTTATACCTTTTCAGAAGGGTGTCATTTTATGGTTGTGAATCTGGTTATTCAATGTTTGCAACTGTCGACTCTACAAAAAATCAAATTTTATATCGTTTCTACGAACATTATCAATCGCCCGTATCTGTAATGAAACTGTTCAACTTAAAAAATAGGGCTGTCAATTTGGAAAATATTGTCACAGGTTAGGTTTTATCTATTATATTCACACGATACAGGATATCTTTTATATTATAAATTTAAATTGAAAAATAATAATATTGTATCAATCATAGATAACTTCACAGCGGATTGTGATTGCATTGACGAAAAGGAACAAGTATGTTTGCTCGTAACAAACGCTGCCGAACCTTCTATAATTTACATGCAAGTACTGGTACTTATTATATTTTTTACAACTTTATTATACTGTTATTAAAAATATGTATTTTATTTTGTTATCAGGAATGTGTTGGAAGATCATTTAAGCAAAGTGGTCATGTTGAAAAACAGTAATTGCCACGACGTGATAGTGTGTTCAACGATCGCTGACACAAACTTTGATTCGAAGAATGAAATTTTACTTGGTGCTTACGGACATGTATTATCATATATTTTTTCATCTTTGCTAATCAAAAAGTGTAGGTATACTATTTTAATAATAATGTATATATTTATTTTCAATCTTAGTGCATATTAACATATGCCTACGTTGACGGCGATTGGGTTAAAAGGACAACGACGGTGTTAAGGTATCCAGTTTATGGCCTATGGTATTTGGACATAACCAGTCAAGGTGTAAAAGACTTAATAGTTATAAGTGAACGTGGTGTTCACATTTTAAAAGTAAGTTTCATATCGCTGATTAATACTATAAAATACAATTTTTACAAAAAAAAGAAGTTAATCAAAAAATTTCAATTTTTCTTCTTATTTCATGCTCTGTCTTATACCAATTTCTGTGTATTTTACTTTTTACAAATTATAAAAAGACATTTGATATTTATCATATTATTTGTCACTAATATTTTGACTTAAGTAAAAATTGCTTATTTGCTAGAAATAATATTGGAATGTAAGGCATCGACAACTACACTGCAAAATACATTTTTTTTTTGTTACCCTTGATTGAGACGACCACATGGTCTTCAAATCTTGCAATTTTGTATTAGTAATAGGATACTACCAATCTCTGTTCAGTTAGCACACATGTATGTGGATGTCCCTCCCAGTGAAGTAGGTCCCTAGTGGGGAAAGTGATGTAGTGCAATATGACAATGACATTTATAGTTTCTAAATATAGTGAAAAATTATTGCACAGTGCCGAAATCGAACCGATGGCCATACATTTCATAGCCAGCTGCATGACCACTGCGCGACCCCACAATAATTATCATTATAAAAAAAAACAAATTAAAAGGTACTCAAAAACCTTTGAAATAATTTCAGTTTGGCATAATTTATTATTATTATTATCGGGTTTTAAATAATAGGGGTCTGATCCAAAAAATGTAATATTAAAAAAAATGTCTAATCACAATCTAATTTTTTTTCCAGCATGATCCTCGTGATATATTAGCTATTTTGAAAGATCGTTTGAAATCCAAATACCTCCAATGACATTTATATCTACTTATTATAATTGTATATTAACTTAAATATACAGTAATACTTTACTATCATTATTTTCACTTGTCAGCGATGAATCAATCAACTGTTGTTATTATTATTTTTTATAAAGACACAAATAAAATTATATTTTTACTTGTTTATTATTACTATTTCCTACTGTTGTCTTTTAAAAAGCTGTATTGTTTCGAGTATAAGTTATAAAATATTTAAGTATTGTCCATACTAAATCTTCAAACTTATTGTTTATACAACAAAATTCTAGTCCAGTAGTAATTTTCTATTATAAGTTTTTCTAAAAAGAAACTATATAATTTTAAGGGGGGAAAGTTTATTTTTGTAAGTAGATTTTGTACCTAAACATAATAACATAGTTATTTTTGTAAACTTTTAATAAAGCAATAAAAAGACTACGATTGGACTAGTATTAAAATATGTCAAATAATCATAAGCATATTTTTTAAGAATTCCTACTATTTGAACAGTTTGAGATTGTAAACATAAATTAATTAATGTACGATTTGGCGAGGAGTACTTCATATATAGTTCAACATGCAACCTAAGTTTACTTGTAAAATGTAAACCGGATATTTATCCTTTTTAGACTGTTATCACAAAAACTATTTAATTATGATATTTTATTTTAGTATTGAATATATCTTCGACAGTATATTTCAAGAGCCAAAGAAAACCCAAACTTTGGCAGAGATAAACAAAAAGCCGGTGTTCTTATACAGCTCCAGAAAATTATTTTTGATTTTCAGTTGTTTTATACAATTAATTTTTAATGTGAAAAAACGTCTCGTTAGTAATCCAATTGTGATAGTATTATTTTTATTTAAAAGTGAATAACTTCCTAAAGGCTACTACCTCTTTAAAAAAAAAAAAAAAAATACTGAAATTTACCACTTTATAAGGCATAAGAGTTTTTCCCTTAAGGCATGTTTTTAAGCCAAAAATTACCATGACAGGGCCCCATTTATTTAATTACTTATCTAAGAACAGATAAGTGATAAAAAAAAGAGGTTAACAATCTAAAATTTTAATTTGGAAAATGTCATGTATATTTATTTAGATAAAAACTAAATATTTTGACATGTTGTCAATATATTTAAAGCAAGTCTTTAATTTGACAATAACTCTTAATGTTAACAAGAATATTAAACTCCATAACTAGTTTATAACGATCACCGTTAAAATCAAATTATCAAATATTACCTTCTAAAATATGTTTGCATAACAAAAACACAATAAACAAATTACCTCATACGGTAAACGTATTTTAGATTATAAACTAAAAAGCTATTAACTACTCATAAACAATTGGTCTAGTAGCTAAAATAACAAAATTAAATATAAAAATTTAAAACATTAATCAAAAAAGATTTATAAAAAAAAAAATTATAACAAGAAAATTTCAAAATGATATAATCCATTTTGTTTAATTCATTTATAGAATATAGGGTATGAAAGCTCTTCTTTCCTTTGGATACAATTTGAACGTCGATTGATACCACCAATGGTTAAGCATAGCAGATTCACATTGATTGCTCAACACCCAAAAGAATATGTATGGCCAAATTTGACTTCCCCAGAGTATAATATAGATTGCCATGTACATAAGAGCTTCACAGAATAAATGAGGACAAGAAATCTTGTCGAAAAGCCCGCCGGTTGGAATTTTATGTTCGTATGTAACGACTTTGCCTTTTTTTGTCCTTAAATTAGCCAATGTTATATTAGTTGCATACTGTTTTTGAAAAGCCCATACGAATACAGACAATCCCGCAATAAGTCTAATGTTAACGTCAGATATGGATAAGAAAGAATTGTATTCAATTGATGGAACGGTGAAAGGTGATGGAGCTTCAGCCAAGATAGTCGTTACACAACCAAAGTAATGTATGTATCCGATCGCGTAATGGGAAATGTTGATTTTCGTATTTGAAAATACACTCAAAAATTGAGTTTCGTAAAAACGCCTCCAGCATTGGGCTAACATACAGACCATGGCGATTGTTGCGGCAGTAGTGCTGTACGAAGTCCTTCGGTTCTTCAAAGCCATAAAGTCCAAAAAGTGTACAATGATTTCAGGCACAGGCCGTTTGAAAACAATCGTCGAGAGCATCAGTAAAAATCCTAAAGTAGACCAAATGGCAGCAAACACGTAAAAGTGTTTAAACCATCTTTTGGGCACTTCCAAGTAACTGACCAGGAAATGTTTTTGCTTGCTTGAGAATTTACCATATCTAAACGATTGCACTATGGAAATCGGAAGTTTCGACTCGATCGAATTAATTAAAATACTCATAACCACTACGGAAAAAGCCATTCCGGCAAAAAGTAATTTCAAAATAGCCACTTCCATACTGGACTGCAGCGAAACTCGTACTAACGAGAATTAAATTTAAAATAGGAACACGCACTCATCGTGACCACTACAGTAACTACAGTTATTCCGTATGGTGTATTCGTTTACAGTTACATTTGAAATTACCTACTTTCTTCAGTAGGACGAGACTAAATAATTGATAAAAAGTTATCACCTGTTTGTTGCCTCTAGGTCGCCTTATCCACGTGTCGATGGTTTTTCTATTGTTTTTACGTTTTTTTTTCCATCGCTGCGAGAACCCTATGTATGTTTACAACGGACAAACAATTTAAAAAATTGTTTACTTAAAAAAATTAATTTCACCCACGGAAAACACAAAAACTTTTAACCAGCGATTTATGCGTTTTAAATAAAAAATCATCGGTAAATACTGATAAGAAAGAAAAATTTGTTGACAAGACCACCGTATTCTTATCAGTTAAACGATGGACCCAGGCCGCGGGTAAACTGCAAGTTATTTCTTATCGTCGCAAAACCGGCGACTAATCAGTATTTGTTTCTTTCAGTGTAAACTACAGTCTACAAAATGTATTTGTTTTTCCTCATACCGCCTTTCTAGTAGTTTTATTAAATCTGCTTAGCGGAAAATAAATTGCCGTCATTCTACAGCAAATTATCAAGTTCAAGAGTCAAGACTATAATCATAAAAACAGGTAATTACTTAAACGTCTGAACAATATAATGGGCCAACATAATAATATAGTATTGTTAAAAATATTTCTGTTTAAATTTTGCTATGTACATCGTTTAAATTTAAAGTGTGAAATTTCAGTAATTACCGTTGGAAAAATTAATTAACGTAACAGTTTTCAATTTCTATGTCATACCAAACTATAAATTCTTTGACTTTTGTAGTTGCTAGAAATTACTGTTACTTTTTCTAATCTGGAACATGTTTTTTTTTTGGGAGAGCGTAAACTAGTAAAAAGTGTCTTAAAACCTAACCTAAGTTAACTGAAAACAGGTTTGGTTAGGTTGAAGACAAACCGATGCGCTTTGTTGATTTTCAGCCTGTTTTACTAATAATTAAACATATTTGCTTAGTGATGATAATTTACCCTGTAAAATGTTATCGTAGGTGATAATGTTATATTTTTAATTTGCTATAGCTTGTTCTATTATTTTATTTACATTATTTACAAATCATTTGAAAGTTTTGAGTCTTCCATCTTCAAGTGAGGTATGATGTATTCCATATCATTGTTGTGTGTTGTTTACAGATCGGATCACATCTGTAGATGAAAGATACAAAAATTCCTAAAAATGTAGCAAACACATAGTAAATATGAAAATACCCTCAAGTCAACTCAATAAATATTATGGATTTTTCATTTTCTACAAAATTCAAAATATTATATCGTATTGCTTATAACTTATTATTTAGGATATTATGCTATAACACTTTTAAAACAACATTTTTTAATAAAATGTACTATTACTATCCTTGTTAGTAAATGGATTTTAGAGCTTATTTTTTTTTTCTCATTTAACTCTTTGTCTACAAAATTTGATTAATCCTTGATACTTCTCAGTTGGGTTGGATCATTTCCGATTTGGTTTGTGGTTTTATTTCTCTAATTATCAAAAAAAATGTGGTTTTTTGTACGATAAATTTATTACTTAAATATTTGTTTTCCAATTATGTAACGTTTTACTGCACAGTAATGTTAGTACATTTTAGTTAAGTAGTTCTTAAGCACGTTTAGTTGCTTCACTTTTTGTATAATACTATATTAATAAATAACAAAAAAAGCAGAACATAAAATATTGTTTGTAATTTTGTAAGGTAGACAGATTATATAATTCATCAAAATGTAAATTAATTAACAGTATATATTATATATATTATAAATAAAAATTATTATAACACAGTATATGATTTCTCGCTGGAGCAAAAAGGATGGAAGTCGGGGGGGGGGGATTTTTTCTAGAATATTAAAAATTTGGAAAAATTAAGCATCAAAATAAAAGCCAAATTTTATAACAACACAGAGCTGACTACGACAATTTAACATACTAATCAATACCGTATGCATACTATGCACATTAACATAACATTATTGTTACTACCTAAAAGGTAATTAATTATGGCTTAAGTAAGATTTTATCAGCATTACACGTGACTTTATTAAGATTAAAAACGGTCAGAAAATGGTTTACAGTTTTACAAATAAAATGTAGACAAAATCGTAATGCGCCTAACATAAACTATAAAGAAAACAATGTTTATTCGGTATTTCCATTGGCGCGTTTACCGCCCCATGAAAAAAAATCCGAACCTGTCCTCAAGCCATTCACACGAGTGTATCGACTGCCTTTCTTTTCTTCGGGCTCCTTTGACCAATCCGAAAACATAGTAAACAAAGCGTGTATTCCTTTGGTCACTTTGTTTCGGTAATTTGTTTTGTCTTCGGGTCTGAATCCGTTTAGATCTCTTTTTTCCATTTGGTGGTCGGTTGTATCCATGTTGTAAGTGTCCATGTCCATGCTCCTCTTGCCGCCCCAACTTGAGAACGTTTGCTTGGGTCGGCTGTTTTTTTTGTCCGACGATCGCTTGCCCCCCCAGCTGGAAAACGCTGGCCGTTTACCCAAATAGGGAAAATTGTTTTGCCTCTTTCCTCCCCAACTGGAAAACACAGTTTTTTGTTTGCGTTTGTCCGGCATTTCCATCCTGTCGATGTCTAGAAAATTTGGCGATTTTCCCAGAAAGTCGCATATTTCGGCGTTTGTGTCTCCTTGACATAAGTCGTAGACTTCTTGTAGTGTAACGATTTCGTCAGATTTGATTTCCCGGCTGGCCAGTTTCAAAACAACCAACAACAACCAGGGCAAACTGATTTTTACCATGCTGTAACATAACGAATCGTATTTTCTGTTTACAAATATTCAGTTTATTTTTTAAATTAGCACTGATTTTGTTATACATTTTAAAAGTGGACGTCGCGCCATTAAGGAAATTCCTTAAAAAAAAGGCAATTATTTAATAAAACATGATATTCAGCTAAAATGTTCAGTCGTGTATTTTTTATGAAAAAATTAGAAATGATTAATATTATAATAAAAATATATACAGGGTGTTCCAGCATGAATGGTAAGTAATAGGTGATTCGATATCTGGGGGACCCCCAAATAAGCCCCCCGTCAGATAGCGATGTAAGAAAATAAATAATCACAAAATTATATCAATATAAATAACCTAATGCATATATGCACTTACATGCAGTGAAGGGCATAGGTAGCAAAACAAAATCCACATTTACCAATAGCCTTTAGGTCTAAAAAAGTTTTTTTTTATTTGAAGATAAAAAATGTACGTTTTAACCCCCAAAAAAATTTTATTTTGAAAAAAGTGTTCTATTTACATAACCCAAGAAAACCTAAGGTGTTGCTAACTTTGCAATTCATCACAGAATACCGATTATATTATAATAAAATAATTTTGCAGTGCTAAAGAGTGAGGTACATTCTATTGTTTAGCTGTATATTGTTTTTTTTTTGAAGTTTTTCATCCCTGCATAAAATAGTAAAATAAGCTAATAAGATTTTGTATAATGTGTGTAAGTTGTCTAAAGTGTAGGAGAGTTAATGTAATTTGTGGTTTACCTTTATGATTTAATCAAAAAACTAGAGTGATGACAATTTTTCAATATTTGTATGATATTTATTCAAATAATGAGATTTACGATTTATAACCCAACTGATTGAAAAAAACATAATAATAAAATGTAAAAAGATAATAAAAAATTAGTTTAATTGCGCAATTATAATTGAGTTAAGAACCGTGGAAGCTGGAAATATAATGCTAACCGCTAGTTACCTGTGGGAATAATTACACTATATAAATTGCGGTATAGCCATTATATAACTTCCTCGGGATTAATATTGCTGATGACTTAGTAAATATTTTGGCACAAAGATAAATGGTGCCTTCAAGTTATAATAATTGCCAGTAGTTTTAATCGCAGTTTGGAATTGTAAAGAAAATATAAACATGGACTTTTATTGAATTATTCATGATAAGGGGCGATTGGTGTTGTTTGAAAGTTGATCACTATTGTTTCCATTTGTTTGCATCAAATTTACTATGCAGCTAACTAGGTACAAGTTTTAAATTTACTATGAAATATTATTACAAACCGTTATTTTGTAGTTCTAAGACAGATGTATTAAAGACAGTCTTAGTCATGGTTGCAAACTAATACACCTATGAAAACCTATCTACATGTTTGCTACTATGCATTTTTTTTTTACGTAGGCGTGGTAATATTGTTCACACTGTGGACTTTGCATTAAAAAAACGTCAAATTATATTCCCTTTGGGGTAAACTTTAACAAGGATGTCTAAGATATGACGACATACGCCTTTCTTTTATGTCACAGGAGACCACGCCAACAGTTCATTTTCCATACAAGTGATTTTGATTAATAACCGAAAAATATAATATAATATTTGGATAACAAAGTATGTGTTATGTGTATTTATAATCAAACCGTGCAAATAAAAATTTAATACTCTTTATAGGTATAGTTAAGTAACGATTTTGCACTTTTGATTACACGATTAAAAACACAATGTTATAATTTTAATTAATTAGTGCTATTAAATAATTTTATTTAAATTAACCTCTTTCGTTCACAGTTACAAAGCCTTGCAATACTTGAAATAAAGTGTTTATTAGAAATGTAAAAAAAATCGTATTTAAGCATTTTTTATTATATCCAAACCAATGTTTTTATAATTGAATAGTGTTCCGAGTATTGCCCAAAAAAAAATATGTATAATATTCTGATCTAATAATTAGTTACTTATAGAGTTCTTATTCGAGGTTATAAACAGTTATAATATGTATTGTTTTTAGTCTAAAAGTAACCGAATAAGTGTGTGTATAGTGTATTGTTATTATCTTAAATAAGCAATCCTATTATCAATTTAAATGAAAAACCATTTTTTAAATTTATTTCTCTGTCTTACGTTTAACGTCCGTTATTCCCACCGATTGGGGCTTAGTTTTATTTTCTTGATTTTACACTAAATTTTTACCAAACAATTCGTGTACCTCTTTATTATTATTTTCTACATTTAGTATACAATCAGAATTATAATAGGTATTGGGTACTAACCGAGAAGCTGTTTTGTTTGTTAAATAATGTTATGATTTTTTTAAAATACAATTAGTTCACTATAAGTCTATGCGAACAAATTGTAATTTGTAAAATACAATTTAAAAAGGTCTAAAGCGGGATTTAATAAAGGATAAAATTCATAAAGGCAGTATTTGCTTGAAAAATACGTCTTATAGTAATTGTCAATAAAAATCTCATTCTTTCTACATTTTTTATTTTTAAATATATTTGAAGAAATATAATCAACATCACTCTTAAAAGAATACACGAAAAATCTCTCTTCTGTAAAAATTAATATATATCAAATGTATACCCTTTTTTTCCTTCCCGCCTCAATACCAATATATTATTAGTTACAATTTAAATATAATTAGTTTTTACATTAAAACAGGTACATCAATATTATATGTCATTATTGTGTATAGTATAATACTACGTCCCCTTTCTTTCTATAAATTTAAAACTAATTCTTAATTAGTTTCACCACTAGTTTGAGCCACTTACTGTAACAGTACCCCCGATGATGAAGTAACTACGCATAAATTGAAGAACGGGTTTTGAAATGTTGCGATATTTTCATTACTCAAAATTAATACAACTTGATCAAAAACTTATCAAAGGGTTTCTATTTCAAAATTACATTATATTAGTTATCGTTGCTATAAATTTCAACCTTTGTTATTATTTAACATTATATTATATTATCGTCCTTTTGAACTCATAATATTTTATACTTTTGTATTGACTAGTGGCCCTAAACGGATATAAGGTATTCTCATTACAACAATAAAAAAAACATATTTTAGTTACAGAAAAATTATACTTTTATGCATTATTAGATGTAAGAAACATTTTGTCATGTTTTTAGTTGAAATACTGATAACATTTGGTCAAGTTCCAACAGAATCAACGAAACTTTTTTGGTGCATTGTCTAGTTAAATAACTTTTAAAAGTCGATTTTCCAATTTTTTTATATACTTTTTGTACCGTTCATAAATCAAATATTCTTTAAAAATATTAAGTCATTTATACAAAGTAATTTTCTTCTATTCCGTTCTGGAAAAAATATATGAATTCGGACATTAACAAAGTATGTTTTATTTATTCTGAACAGACAATTTAATTCCTTACTACCTAGCTGATATCTGTAAACTAGTATAATCTAGCTTAAAGTTATTATTTATTTTAATTTATTCTAAAATATGACGTTTGTACGGATTAGTAATAAGGAATGGATTTTGGAATTTTGTCGTTAGGAATTACTAGTGTGAATAAATTATTGACCAAGGTTTATTAGTTGTAGAAAATATGTCTGATTAACGAAAACTAATTATGAACCACAATATTCAAGCCTTTAAGACCCGTTAAGTCACGATGTATTATGTATAATGATTATCATATTATTTTATAAATTATGATGATTCGTGTATGACTTTAATTTTATGATTAGATTTCTTGACAATTCAATAAGAATTCTTAACTAAATAGGTATTTATATATTTCTTTAAAATAATTTCGTCAACAGTGAAGTGTTTAAAATTGTTGTCTGAATATTTTTACAAATTCTATTTTAAAACTGAAATTTGTTGTCAAGTATAAGTTTACATAATTTGATTATAACCTATTTCCATTATCTACTTCGCAAAGCAAAAATATAATTTAGGGCACATTATGGATTTTACATTGCTTTTTGAGGTTTTTGTAGTTCTACATTTTCAGATTTGCTTCGAAACGTTTTTTGAAAGTGATTTTATCACTTTCCGTTGTTATAATTCCCGTAGACCTAGGACCTCCCCCCCCCAATATAATACGTGACCACTATGCTTCGATACAACTGTAGTGGCTTTTTAATACTGAACCATATTTACTTTAAACAAATTGTGACGTTTTAAAAATTATGAAATCATCTTTTTAGTTGTATTTATTTATGTGTATTATTATTAGTAACGTGTAATTTTTGTAGTATATTATATTGATGTTATAAAATTAAGAGGTATATTTAAAAAAATGAATTTCAATAAGGTTCAAAGTTAAAATTGAATTACGTTTGCGTGTTTTTAATTTCATAAATGTTTTTTTTTATTTACAAAATAAATGCTTATTTTAGTAAGTGCTTATTTTTCGAACGTTATTAAACATAGGTACAATACAAAATATGCATTTATTGAAAAATAATAATTTTAAATGGATTTGCAAGTAAAAGCAATATTTATATTATAATTATTTATAAATATAATAAAATTAGTATTTTAACAATATTAAAGGCTCATACTTGATTAAGGTAATTGATATGTATTGAAAGAGAATCCCATGCTATTTGACCCATGTTTTGAAAAGTTTAAATATTTTAAACTGATTATAAATATATATATAAGAAAAAACAACATAAAGTACCTTTTGCCGTAAATGCTGTCTGTCGAGTTGAAAACGAGGATGAAATGTTTTTTCAATCAATTTGATTCACGCGTTTGTCGGATTATTATATTTCTTTAATTTTACCTAGAACAATATTTACAGCTTCTATTAATTATAATAACAAAATATTACCTTTAATTTAAGTCTAAAATAACGGCCACTAATAATATTACTTGAGTATTCAAAATTCCATTATAATTATTAAATAGTTTTTTAAAACAAGATTTAGATTGAGTCAAATAATAAAAGATGTATTTAGGTTATTTTTTACTTTTGGTTATAATTCAAGTAACAAAAAAAAATCTGTTTTTATAATCTGTATTATTATCGGAAAATCATTTTAAAATGATAAGCCAATATTAACAAACGGTAAATATTGAATTGAAATTCCGAGTAGACTTGTTAAGACAAATATATAATAATTTTGTCTATTTAGGATTTATAGTTGACAATTAAAAACTATCTTAAGTCTAAAATATTGGTTCTTAAAATATTTTGGATTCTACTTTTAATAAAAGAACAAATAAAAAACTCATTTGTTATAGTAAAGTTTGTCTAATTCCAGTTAAACGTTTTATGATGCCTAAGTTCGTTTAATGGAATTCTATGAATTTCGAGGGACCTTTCTTTACATTAGGAGCAGTGCGTAGCTTAGAACTTGATTGAAAAATAGGAATTTGAGTATAATAATTTAAGTATAAAATATAAAATACCCGGTAAACTCACAAAATTTAATGTAAAACAAAAATAGTTTTTTTATTAGCGGTTTATTTAATTTTGAAACTTTCATATCTTTAGATTGGTGTATAACCAAGAATTTAGCCAACACATTTTTTTGACTAAATTAAATTTTTAGTACCTGGAATGTCGCGGGACTTCGGAGACTTCATACTTTTGGGTAATTTAAAACAAAAAAGAGAAACGTCAGGATAGTTTTTTAAACTTTTCCTAGATATTCAAGATTATTTTAGTGACAATAAGTCATAAGTGCAACTATAATGTGATAATTGATTTTACCTGCCAAAAATAAAAAATTAAATAACTCTTAACTAAGAATATTCAATTAAATTTTTCTTCATGTTTCAAATATATTGTTAAACAAAAATTTTAAATTACGTTAGAAATAAAATATAGATAGTTTTATAATTCTAAAAATATCATTATTTCTTGCTAAATTAAACTTATGAAATGTGGTCTAGGGCATACCACTATTTTCCCCTTATTGACTATTTTTTATTAAGTTATTACTTATTAAATATTCTGACCAAAGTCAGTTTCTCGATAAAAAATTAACTGCATTATGCTAAATTATAATTATAATTAGAGCTTACAATAAATGGACAGATTTGATACAGTGACCTAACCTAACCTTTTCTTATTGCTTATTCTAATTATGACATTGTTGCAACATGTTTGACTTATTCTAAAAAACATAATAACATCCAGTTTTTTTCCATTGAATTTTAACATTACAAATTTTAATACTTAATATATTAGTTTCTAAGAGACGTTTTTAGATTTAATTTAAATATTAACTGTATTTTTTTTAACTCAGGGTCTGCAAGTACACCATACATTTTTTAATGAACCTACTAATTTCATTACTTTCATCTTAGTCATATAACTAACTACGACGCAACTACCTTTTTTTAGCCACTCAATGCCTAACCAGACAAGAACATTTTCTTAATAATTATTATATTAAAGGAAATAAAAATGTTTTAATTCCAGTCTAATTATTAGACTGGAAAACTGTGACTAAGACTATGAGACTGAAAATGAGTTAAAAATTATTTATATCTATTATTTAAATAGTGTTATATCTATTCATGATTAATTACATTGTACAACATAATTTGAATTTTTTTAGAACAAGAAACATAATACATCTAATTTATTGTTAACATCGACTGAATCTAAGCCTCAGATTTTGTGTAATATAAAGTTCTTTTGTAAATCGCTTCTAAACACTTAATAAAAACACTTTTTCAAGATATTTTCAAAATACTTATAGATTTTTAACTAGATCTAATTTTTACGTTAAAACGTCATATTATGATTTCTGTGATGATCTGATAACACAAATTGAATTACCAATAGCCAATCCTCATTGCTGTGCTAATAATTATACACTTTTTAATTTTAGCTTAGAACTAAAAATATAAATAACTGTGTTGCGTTCTCTTAAACAAAATTATTATTTTATTTTATTAAGAGTACAAATGAGCATTGTTTAAAGATAATCTATCTGAATAAAAACTCATAATGATATTTATCGAGGGAAAATATATAGCGATATTTGATATAATTTGATCTAAGTGCCCTTTTATATATTATGCCAGCAGTTTAAAGGAAAATTAATAATAAGTTTTACTAACATTTAAAGCTATTTTTATTCGAATTATGGCCAAAATTTGATAACATATTATTCTTGTGCTGAAGTAACTTTCCAGCATATTGAAGGATTATAATTTTTTTTTAATTTTCATGGAATGCTTACAGCTTTCTTTATGAGAGCTACAATTCTGATTTTTTTATTAAGCAAAATTAGCTCGACTCAATAGAAAAAAACCTCTTTAAAAAAAAACGCTTCGATGCGAATGGTAGAAATTAAAAATTGAAATCATAAACGCTTATAACACAATTTTAAAAACAAAAATTAAAAATCGGGTTTTTAGCCCCGTGTAGAGTAAATGTAAGACACTATAACAAAAATTAATTTAGAGTTGGTTTGTTAGTCATCTTAGAAAGTGACTGCCTTTTAGAAAAATGTGTATAAAATTTGGTCCTTTCCGTTTCTCTTAATTTTTATAGTTCAACATTAAAAATCTGAGTGGTACAACTATTATGCTTCAGTTTTCTAGTAAAAGTATTTACTACCGAAATCATTAACGTGTAATTTAAGTATGATCTAATCATTGTCACAGCCATAAAAATTAAATTTTTAGAATTATTGAACATAATTACTATCGTAAACAAATATATTTTTAAAAGCTATTGTGAATACGAAATTAGAGATTGAGAAAGATAGAAAGAGAGATGTAAGATTTAAATTAAAAATAATATTAAATAAAAAGTAGGTGTAAAACGAAATTCGGTTGCCTTACCTTTGTTGTTGCGCTGGAATCCCCACGGTTATTATCCGTCACTATCCGGCAAGCTTTTAAAAGGAAATCGAGGGAGCGCTTTAAGATATATACTCCCTCGAATTCTATGGGTGGTGCTTCATATTATCTTTCACAACTAGTAGGCGTGACGTTACCGCTTGCATTGTCATATAATTTTTTTTTTTTTTTTGCTGAACACAGTAGTAATATGCGTGAAGTATAATAATAGTGTAAAACAAGTGTAGCAGCGGTATTGCTTTTTTTTTATGTTTTTGACCATTGCCGTCGCGTGTTTAGTATAATATTTAAAAAATTATCCTTTTCCCCTTATACCTACACAGAGAAGTCAGCAAAGCATATTAAACAATCATAATCATGTATTTGTGCGTTTACATTTCATTATTTTATAATATCTAAAAGCACGGGTCGGACGCCGTTAAATTTAGCGACACAATATATATAGTAATAAAACTATTATTTTACACCTACATAGCGCTTATATGTGTATACTTTATTTAGCGGATGGACGGTTTCGGGATCATCAATTCTAATGTACCGGAATGATTATTTTTGATCGTGCAACCGGGGTCAAGTTAAGCTTTAGGTAAACAAAAAAAAAAATTATAATTTATTCATAATTTTTTTTTCAACATCACCTCAACATATAATAATAATATTAATAGTAGTTGTCGTATTTTTGTTATTCGACTATAAGATAATAATAATAATAATAATAACAATAGAATTCAAAGTAATTAGATCACTACTGCTCGGTATTTGTTCTTCCAGTTTGCCATCTATTTTGGGTATTATTTCACTTTGCTCTCCATTTCGTCCCTGTAAGTGTTGGACGAAAACTTCACAAACGTGGGATGCTTCCAACTGCTTGCCCTCCTTCCCCTCGTCACCCAGAAATAGTCGTCATCGACGTCGGCCCTTCTGTCCATTGTCACCCACATAGGTTCTTCCACGTACAATGGTTTTTCCAGATTCCCTAAAAACCGGAAATAATAACGCTTAGGTTTTTTAATATTGCAAAATATGTATGTTATTTTTTAACCGTCCAAACAGTTGCCATAAGCAACGACCTAACTGGGGTGTTACACTTGCTAAGCAAGTGAAAAGAAAAATTAATGACCGAAAGTATTGGTCTCGTATCCATTGTGGTCACAAGTTTTTATTTATAATGCTTTACTCGGATTTAGGCAAAATTGAAATAAAAGATAATTTAAACGATTAAAAGTTGATTATTTATTATTCACCAAAAACATTTTTTGTATCTCGATAAATAATAATAATTAGTTTATTTATTATTAATTATATGTAAACAATTATGTTTTTATATATATTTTTAATTTTAAGAGGACGTCACACATCCGTTATTTTAGATGTGAAGCTATAGGTATTTTCTTAACTGGTTTAGTGTATTGTTTGTAGTTGGCGTTTTAACATTTTGGATTAATAATACAATTTTAGGTTTTTATTGATATACTAATAGCTTAGTTTTTATAAATTCTTTAAATGTATTTATTTTTTCTATTTTTTAATACTTTAATAAAAATTATTTAATAAAAACTTATTAGATTGTATTACAGTTTATAGAAAACCCGACGATGTACGTTTTATAGTCTTATTTTTTTTTTTTAATCGAATATCTGTGAACGAAACCCTAGTAAAATACTGTATATCCTACAGCAAAAAAGTGATTATTTTTTTCATAAGGTTGTCAAAAAGTTTGTTAATATTTTAATAATTTTTTTTTTTTTTTAGCCTTTATTGGGAAATATGATGGCTCGACAATTACAATTTTAATAATTTTTAAAATCCTGTTTTAGCAGGAGATTCAATGTTTAAAAAATAATAATAATAAAAAATATTGGGAAAGTGGGTGCAACATGCGACTTGCAACCCCACACTCGGATAACGCATACAGAACATTATATTATTATAGTACATATTATTCACGTTACTTAGGCAACGAGCATCGAGATATAAATTGTACATCTACAATATTAATTATGTTACAATAACTCTCAGTACCTTATCCCTATGATCTCTAATTGTTTTTGGAGGTTCAAAGACCCTTTATGCCCTTACCAAACATATATTACTTTGAAAATTGTCCCATTCGATTTCGATATTTCGGTGCCGTTGCAGCATTTACAATGTTAATACATGTCGTTTGACTTAAAGTTAATAAAATGCAAATCATTTTACTATAAACTAGAAAAATATATTAAATTAACTAAAATTAATGTTGTAATATATAAATTACATTTCTATTAATACTAGCATTGTAAAAAATTGCTTGTTCTTCAAATTCCGGGCTTTCAATACTATAGATAAATACATTTAAATTTTAAAAAAAAATGTTTTTTTAACATTTATCAAGATATTTTTATAGACTCTTTTTAAACACAGCGATTCTGGATATGTTAGGAAGTTTTTGTTATACAATATATTAGACAAATTATTTTGTTATTTTTCTCTTATCAATCAATATAACTATATTTATAAATATCATCAATATGATTATATTGAATTATAATTTGATCTTTGATTTGAGATCAAACGTATAAAGTAAGTCCACGGTGGACTAGAAAAAACAATAATTTTATTGCGCTAACTTTCAATTACTAAAATTAGTATTTTTAATGTACTTATAATTGTAAAATGGTTAAAGGATATTGAAAGCGGTCTTTTTTTGCGCGGTTTTTGACCAAAATCCTGAGAAAATTAGCCTATATACTTAGTATGGTCCGATTTCAATTCAAAAAATATTTGAGTTTATCGGCCTCTTTTCTAGATTCTTGTGGGAATCGATTTTTGATTTTTCAATTAAAATTGTGCTTAAATCCTATTTTAATTTCTATCATTTTTAGCATTCACTTCATTGTATTCTTTAAGTAAATGAAACAGTTATTCAAAAATCGACTTCCACAATAACTTTAAAAAAAGCCGATGAGCTCAAATATTTTTACAGAATTAAAATTGTTCAATCGTTCTAAGCAGACGAATTTTGTTTTGTCAGTCTTTTAGCTCTTAATTGGTTTCTTGTATAAACCAAATGGTTTTTACTCGTAGAAAAAAATGCCTAAGTTCAAAATTATACCTAGAAACGTTTACAAATTCACCCGAAAATAAATTAACATGTTCGAAATTTATATAAACCACATTTTTCTTAAATATTACCTTTATAATACCCCTTATAAACTGCCCGCTATCAATTAATGCCCTTAAAGTGGGTGGTCAAATTTTCGAACTCTATGTTTCTAGAGAATTTTTTTTTAAAACACAAGTAACACTATTGTAATGTTAGCACTATTGTTAATATCTCCGTATAACAAACGAAACTTATGGATAATCTATATTGTGCTTGAGCTTAAACTTTGCCTTCCTCGTATTACGTCCATCCTTCATCTTGCGTCTGACAATAATAACAATAGTGTATAACACAAGTATTTTTTACTGATCAACTTTTATATGTCAGTATAATAATCATCGTGCTATAGTTATTGAAAAAAACTTAATATTTAGTATGTATATACAATTTATAGTTTTATGTTGTAACTGTACAAACGAATTGTATACACCATTATTATGTTACTTTTGGTTATCCATTAATCCGTGTTAGCCGCCATCAAATCTCCAAATGTGTAGTATTTTATTTATTTTCAATCATTGTAATATTATTACCGTGAATGTTGGCTATGTTGAATTTTCTGTCCCAATATTGTTTGAATTTGTTGGGTACTGGATTATTTCTGCGACCCCGGGAAGGCCAAAAATTTGGATCTTCGCTTCCGCCCAACACTGCATTGATATCGGCACGCGTTGTCCTGGCATCTCCGTCAACAAGCTGTTGAAAATATTTATATTTTTTATTATTCAAACAAATTTGATCAAATGTTCATAATTTATGTTGTGTTATATTTCTGTGACAATTTAAAATCTAAAAGATTCAATGTCAAAATAAGTAAGGTAGACCTCTCTTATAAACGTAAATTACATAATTTGTATTGTATAAAAAGTATAACTCTTATGTTAAACATTTAAAAAGTTATGAAGAGTTGTAAACAAACTAACACAGTGCCTTATGGATAATAAAAACTGTGAAAAAGATGATTTGCAAACTATAAGGATGCTATGACTCTATAAGCAATTTTTAAGAATATTAATTTTTTTTTCAAGATAATAAATACTAATGGTAGAACTGTCATTTTTGTAGTTAATTGGGAAGGCTCAAAGATGGACAATATGCTTCAAAGTATCAATAAGTTTAAACTTCATTAGCTTGATCGATTATCTAAATTATTAATAAATATTCTCACCGCAAATGTTATTTATAAACACATCAAATTGTACCAAGATGTAATTTTAAATATGCATTATGATTTAAATGTGTATCATGATTTTGTATATTTTATCAATTCCTATCCACAGGGAAGGAAGGCTCACTTTTAGTAATAACCTTTTTTTGTTTTTTCGCTTTTAAATTGTAATTACTTATTTCTAAAATTGATTTCCTTTCTCACCTTTTTATGTTTTAAGCTGAATTATTATAATTTCATAAAAAAAAACAAATTTATGAAGTATTTGTGATTGAATTTTGCGGCCGTTAATTCAGTTTTAACCAAAAAATATATAATTTGGTCTAAACAATTTTTTTTCCTTTTGATTTATTCTGCATCAACAATTTTTTTTATGAACGATGATCCGTAGGTATAATCATATTAAATTTTCATTGGTTAGTGCATGGGTATTTTGGATGGTTCCTTTTTTTACAGTACTTCTACCAATACTGTACATTTTCACACCAGGGTTGACTTTAAGAAATGACCATGTCTTTATTCTGATTTAACATTTTCCCAACACCAATACTATTTTTGTATTTTGCTCTTCAACCAATGTAACTATTTAACACAAAAATAAAAACCTAATTGTAGTGAATTCATTTTTTAGATATATCACTTTTCAATTTTAGGTTAACCTCATTTTAAAGTTTTTTTAACTGAGGTAGCCAAATTTTAAAAGTTTGAAACGTTTCAATGATGTTCCAGTTTTAGAGCTTGACAACTATTTTTTTTTTTACTTTTTCTGATAACACTTTACTTTTTCTTTTTATTCTAAGTTTTTTCTGACTATCAGTCCTGATATTGCCCAATTGAATTAAATATTTTAGGTCTTTGAGTATTATATATCAATGTATATCAAAGCAATTGTTTTGTATAACACCATCATATAAGTATAAGAAGAGTTTCTGTTTGTGGGGTAGGCGGATAACACTATGTTTCTCACTTAATGTGAAGTTGAACCCGATACCATTACTGACACTTAGGTAAACTGATATTTTATTGGCAATAAAAAAAAAATCACGAATTTAAATATATCTCCTCAATCATTTATTGGTATAACGCCGTCGATGGATATGCTTCTTTGTGATTGAAATCGAATGCCTAATTGTTGGGTTGGGTTAGGTGCTTTGTCTATCTAATGTATATTGTTTTTATTTATTTATGCTAATATTGCGATTTTCATATGACTGGTTAATTTTTTATTATAAAAGAGCACATTCTATGGTGTCATATTTAAACGCGTACAACGACCTGCTCGTTTTGGTTCACAGCTAAGAACTCGCGGGTCGTTTTTCAAAAACCATCCCTGTCAAACGTCAGGTTGTTAAGAGGAGTGCTTATGTTGAGAAGGTATCAGTTGTATAGAATTTACTGGAATGTAGACTAGAATAAAGTGTGGGATTTGGTTACATATTCGTTAAGTATGTATATAATAAGTACATTGATTTTATGTTACCACTTAATTAGAAAAAAATTGACAAAATGTCTGTAATTATTTATAATGTACTAAATGTGGAGGGTTAACATAAACCCCTTTAAAATGGGTTAAATCGGTATCAATTTCTGAGGTCTCGATTCAATAAAAAATACATGTGTTATTTCTGCATAAGTTCTTAGTAAAAATAAAAATAAATTGTTTAAAATGTATGAGGTTAAAGGTTCTATTGAATATTATGAGACATAAAAATAATTTTGTTTTCACAACATAAAATATTTTAGCGTGCTCTAAAGATATTCCCAGATGTCACCTTCTTAGGTATTGTTTAAAAAATAATTTTTATAGTCTTGAAATTTATAGAGAACAGTCATTAAACTTCATTGAGATATGACTTTGTTGTTATTAATAATAAATTCCGTGCTTTCCTAAAGTTATTTTATTTTATTTTTTATACATACTTATTTACTTTTATTGTCGTAACTAGAGATCAGACTTGTATAATATAACATAATTTTTCAGAATAGAAGTCATAATACAAATATTTCAAAAGTAGTTTTAAAAAAAAGCAATTTTTTTTTATGTCTTTATTTTGTATTATAATAAATTCTAACAAAAACATTAGTAATACAAACATTTTGTATGTAAACTTATGGTTTAAAAATTTGTATTTTCAGGAATTTTTTGAAAACTTTATATTGTACCTATATAATAATATGTTTATCAAATTATAACCCATCGTTATAGGTAACTATTATAAACGATTAAACAGTTTAAATTAAATTAAAAAGATATAAAAACGTAGTAGGTTTGCAATGATTATAATGTTTTAATAGAAACACTATTAGTGGTATACATGTTATAATTTACAAATTAAAAAAGATTAAGCATATAATTATTATTATATTATGAATAAGTGCACGACTTCGGACTTCTTTTATTAACAGTTAAATATACCGTTACAAAAATTTAAAGTTCTTAGTGTTGTGTATATATGTCAAGCGTGCATAGCATTTGTTAATAGTAATCCCATACCGGAAAAAATATTAATGTTTTGAAAGTGTTGCCATATAGTTTGTTAATATTTTAAAATCATGTTGTAGCAGGCGTACTATTTATGAAACATGTAGAAAATTTGATAATTTTAACATTTTGTTTTATTTTTGAAACATTTGGTCTACTGCTAAATAATGATATAAAAAATATTAAGCAACAAATTTTTTTGATTTGTTTTAAATTAAATTCAATATTTTTTTTACTGTATTGGATATATTGTAAGTGCGAGAAAAAATGGAGCTTGGCTATTAAAACTAAATTTCTTAATACAGCAAATGAAAATTTTAAATAAATTTGCAAGGTTGGAAATGGGCTAGTTAATTTTTTATACTACATACACATCTATTTGATATGCATACATTTTGGTTCTCAAGGATTAAGTATCTGCTCATGTCTTACCTCCAATTACACTAAAAAAAAATAGGTATCCCAAAACATATTGAAATTAAACTTTTTTAAATTAAGTGACACTTATCTTGTAACACAATCGATTAAGTATTTTTCCTGCGTTATTTTGTTTATATCTTACTAGTTTTCCCCAAAATATTGACTTGGCCCTTTTTATTACGCACGCCCAATATTTGTAATATTTTTTTTATTTTACAACAAACATTATTTTTGTCTAACTATAAAAGTCTAATAACCGTAAAATAATTTAAATTATAATTTACTTACGAGCCGGTTTTGTTTGTGGTCAATTTACATAACCAACATTTTTTTTTCCAGGCTTGACAGCTCTTTGTAATGGAAATTTCTAAATTGCCTTTCTTACTCGATTGTATGCATTTTGTTTCGACTCGAAAAAATAATTCAAAATTTATCAAATCGTGACGGAGAGAATATGAGGTGCAGTACTGCAGTAGCAATTTAATAGTGGCAAGTATGCAGTTCATCATATCAACGCCTTAGTGTATATTTTGATTAACTACATTTCCACTTGGTCGTTGCACTTCAAGTCGTACATATGTAGAACATACCTTTATAATATAATCTAAATTTACGGAAAACTCAATTGGTGGGTGTGATTATCGTAGAAGACCTACTTGACGAAAAGATGAATTATGTATCACACAAATGGCTTATTTAGCCGGGCGGGCACCAGATGAATAAACGCAAGGTATTTTCGTTTGGCTCTATAAAGTGGTACACACACGTTATTATTTATTGTATAGTACCTCCTACTAGATTCTAGAATATATAATTATATGTATATATATATTCATATAATATGTATATAAAATAATGGAATGACTATAAATTCGAGTACCCATGAAATTCGTGAGGATTTCTGTATACAGGGTGAATAACTTATCGTGAATCACTCAATATCACACTGGGTTTAATTAATAATTTTTTTTTCCCCCATAATGTTTTTATACAATGTCATCTCAATTTCTCACAATTTTGTTTGTTTTTACTCCCCTCCCAACTTAGTTTTTTTTTATAGTAACTTTTGAAATTTAAAAGGTAACGCATACATTTTATTAACTTTTTTAATTGAGAATAATGTACTAAAAATGTTGACTGCTCGATAACCAGTTTTAGATAACTATTTTTAAAGTTATAAGTTTAAAAGTTTGAATGGGCACAGATAAAAATAATACTACACTCCAGCCCTGAACTTGAAACTTCAATAACTTCAAAAATAGTTATCCAAAACTGGTTATCGACAAGTCAACATTTTTAGTAAATTATTCCAAATTTAAAAAGTTAATGATATGTATGCATTACCGATAAAGTTTCAAAAGTTGTTATCAAAAAAACTAAGTTGAGAGGGGGGTAAAAACAAACAAAATAGGTGAAAAATTGAGATCACATTGTATAAAAACATTATGTAAAGAAAAAATGTAATTTCTTATTAAACCCAGTAAGATATTATTAGATCACGATAAGTTAATCACCTTGTATATGTATCTAAAATAATGGAATGATTACAAATTTGAGTACCCATGAAATTCGTGTGGATTTTAGTATATTGTTGTTTTTTATTTTTAAAAAAATTTCAAGTGAATGAGGCAAATGTAAATTTATTTTTTTATTTTTGCTATAGAAAAACAATGACAAAGTTTTGTATTTTTGAGGATGCTAACTGTTACTTTGTAAGGCGATTGGTATAGGCAATTAGTTGCAGAAAAAAAGTAATTTCTCACCACTAATATGGTTGTACCAAAAATTGTCTACATTAAAAATTATTCCGTGCATAATACTCTTTAAATAGTTCGGTATAGGCAATTTTAATCAAAAACTTGATTAGAGCTTAATTTATTTTATGTGTTTTTTAGTATATAGTATTGAGGATTGGTAATATTTTTATCGGACTTTCACGGTCTTTGTTAATAATAAATAGCTTTGAGAAGGTGTATAATAAGTTTTTGTCTTTATATTAATTCAAACATCATATTTATATGATAAGGATATTTAGATATATTTGCAGAATGATAACTCTTGTTTTTGTCAAAAAAACGTCGTTAGTAATTTTGGAAATCCTAACTTTTTAAAATAGTATTTTAAAAAATGTAAACCCATTTCTTTAACTTAAGACTCAAATTAGAAAATTAGTACTTTTCACTGAGGAAAAATTGTACATTTTTACATCTAACCTTATTTTATTCTCTATTTAATCGAGAAAAATCATACCTACCTTTTTTTAACTACCTAGTGAGAACAATTTTTTTATTCGAGATAAAGTTAATTTATAGGTCTAAATTAAATGTAATATCCTGGCCTAAACTTTGTCCTGTCTCCGTTCTAAAAATGTTGTATTTACCTAATTAAATTATTTAAACTTATACAATATAAAGCAACACAATTTTGGAACACAAACCAATATTAATTAATTTTTTTTTGCTGAATTTGGCCTTGGAATTTTTCTAGTAGTTTTGTTTTAAAAAATTTCAAATTTGTAAAAACACATTTTTGTGATTTTTTCAGCGTGTGTTATTAGGTTTGAAATATTTTCTATAATTTGTGATTTATGTTTTAAATTGTTTACAACATGAAAGTTGCTAAAAATAAAATGTTGATGCCTGGTTCGGATTTAGTGAAAATAAATATTATAAAATTATTGTTAACTACAAAATACATAAGAATGTACTTGCCTGTATAATATAGACGATTCCTATTAGGTAAAACATCTTGGTCCTAGCGTCCATTAGCTCCATGGCGTCCAACAACGAAATGTCCCATTTTCCATAGGGTTCTTGTTGTATTTATAGACTTATACCTTCCATATTATTTCTATTATGCGTGTGTATACCTTTACACTCGGACACACCGGGTGACCGCGATGATTAACTCGGGGATTGCTACCGATTCCCCGTTTAATCTCGTTCATGACGTTGTACACATACCCTTAGGTTGTGGTATTATTACACGGACCGGCCTCTCGGTTACCCTATGTCCCCTCAAGGAAATTCCCAGGACAAGGATTACGAGGGGAAAAGTAATATTAAATTAAAAAAACCTAAAAAGTATACACACATACTATTTTTTTGTATTATATATATTTGACTTGGAAACAAATTCCTCGCACTGTATAGGTTGATATTATATTTGCTTTCTACAGGTTTCTGCTGTTCGTAGGCTGGTCCTCTGGGAAAAACATTTCTCTCGGCGTGGAGGGTTGACGTTGGTCGTCGAAAGCTCAGCTACAATGGTGAGTTAAACAATACTTAGCTACATTATTGTACTCGTGTATAATTAATCTTATATAACCTCGCCGTTATTCGCTCTGTCAGTCACGTTTCCGCGTAGACTATACTTAAACGCTTAAGACTAGACACTGCGCGATAACGTGGGGCATCTCGAGTACACGGACGTTAATGTAAACCATCCATTATTATTTGTTTTGTACCTAAACTTATAGAAATTCAAATTCTGTGGAGGCGGAGACTGTCCGGAGTGGTTGCTGGTCCAGATCAACGCTCTATCGAGAATGGTAAACAAACATACGTTATCAGATTAATAATAATAATAATAATCTCCTCGTTTTTGAGAAATCTGACACTTTTTGCCACCTGTAGGATTTTGTAATTACTATTTTAGTCAAATAAGTAATCCCTTTTCTCAATTTTTTTTTTAAATTAAGTATACAAATTACGTTGAACGTAGTACGTTCTAAATGGATTTAAAAAATGACAAGTGATGAATACCAAAAACGTACAAGTGACATTTAAAAAAAAAAAAACAGTTTTAATCGTGTAATACTTTCCGATGTAACCTACTTCTATCTGTGTTCGTTTTACTGTTTCTCAACATTTTTTTGTAAGAGTTAATGTACTTGACGGATAATGACTAGTCAAAGAAAAAATCATTTTCATTTGGCTCACTTGTATAATTGTATTAAAGTCTCTGCGACCCTTTTAAATCTTGCCACTTCATTAATCTACCTTGGCTATGTTCGTGTATTTAGTTATCAATTAAAAGAAAACATTGGCACTTATCTCATTTATTTAATTGCAGTCCTAAAAAAAAGTCAATGTAAATAGCCAATACATTTTTTTCAAAGATATAATGACACATTTTAGTTTCAATGAAATACTTTCAACTGATATTACTGAATATTAGTATAATTTTTTGGTCGTTACTAGTTACTACAAAATAAGCACTAGGTATGTCATAAAGTACTCCTAATCGGTTTCAATTTTCTTTAAATGAGTAAAAAGAAAACTATTTTTTTTTTTAGATTCTTTTTGTTTTCTTATGTTTGATAAAAAATTATAGAAAAAATGAAATTCGTTATTGTTTGTAGGGACGAGCAAAGTAACTCGGTCATTTATTCAAGACTAAAAAAAATAATTTAACATTTTTGAAAAGAACTTTTCGTGCGCTGACCAAAAATAATGTTGCTATATACAATACAATAAATTTTGGTTTTGAATTGAGGTTATAACATACATTTTCCCATACCAATCATATTATAAATAAATCATTATTATATAAGTGATAGTAATAATAGTAATAATAAAATTATAAGTGTGTACATACTAAACAATTTAATTAATTTAAGTTGAAAGTTTTTTTTATATAAAACTTTTTTTTCACAAAATGTACCTAATAAAAATATGTTTTGATGTATTGTTATAACAATACATTATATGTATAATCATAATGAATGTGTTGTCATTAACGCCAAGCGTCGGTTTACCTATTGTTGTAAAATGAATAAGACGTTTATTATTAAAACCGTGTGTTTAGGTCCGTGTTAAAAACGTTTTCTTATATCGTCTATTGTTTATCCATTTTAGACATCAATTAAAATGAAGCTTTTAGCGCAGCACACGGTAAATTCATTGCTCGACCAGCCGTTCAACGTAAGTTTTCATTATTTTTCCATTATTATTATGCTTTTATTCGCCATTTTAATTAATAATATCCCTCACAGATATAAATTACAACGTTTTCAGGACATAATTTTTTTTTTAGTTTTTTTGTTTTCCTCGTTCAAATAAACAACAATAAACCAATTCAACAAGTTTTTTGCTTTCTGCGACGGTCTTATTTATGGGCATCGCGTTGTTCGTTTTTTTTTTTGGAAGGGTTTTTTTTTCGTTTTTAACCGACTAACAATCTGTTGGGATTTGTAAACAGTTATTATTTTTTTGCATTATTATTCACCTAACGTCGCGTCGCTACGGAAAGTTAAGCCAAGTAAAGTTTTTTTTTTGTTTTTTTTATTGTTGCGGGGGCGTTTTGACGGTGTTGGTTTTTTTTTCTGTATTTTTTCCTTTACCCATGACCCGTACGAATGTGCGAGCCATCATCACGTGGACAAGCATTAACTCGGCGCGGGTAATACGATTTCGGGTTTGAACTTAATGGACTGTGCGCTGACAGCCTTTGATTTTTTTACTTTTGCCCAGCAACAACCGTGAATCGAATTACAGAGGACATCCGTCGCCCTTTAATGTGATAATGTCGTTAACGACACGGACTTTTAACGTATGATGTCGGTGGCGAAACTTCATTCTTTACTTGTTTGTGTACTTAACAATTTGTCATTCGCGGCTAACGTTTCTGCAAAATTAAGTCTATTTAAAGGAGCATTATCTTCTCAAGCAGCGTTTTGATGTTTAAATATTTATACATGACGTATACATATTATATCAGCAACGTGTAACGCCACTTTTTGTTAGCATCATGGTATAAATACCGTACTTATTATTGTTAAGAAATCCTATTATGGTGTAATGCAACGTTAAATAATTAATAACAGCTTTTGTTTTCTAGTTCGAAAAAGCTAAGGAGCTTATGGCCGATGCTAAGCTGGGTAAGTCAAATTGTTTTCTTCTTTTTTTTTTATGTGTAATACAAAATGTTACGGGTTTCAATTACTCTAGTATATTATATAAATATATAAGACGATTATCTAGATACATCAATAAACTATAAATTAATTTGACGGAAAATTAAAAAAAATAAAACGTCAGCAATTGAAGATAACGGGTACTTAGGATATGTAATAATATTATTATAGCTTTAAAGCCTAATGGCTGTACTTTTCGTCGTAGTCAACTGTTCGTTTGCAACAAACAACAATAATATTCAATTTGCAGCTTACAGGTGAATGAAAAAAATATTTTCTTACTTGACGAATAAAAATACAAGTTGTATTCAAATAATTTCAGTAATGAATAACAAAAAAATAATAAATTGTTCTATCATAAAAAAAAGAATAACCTAATGATGCCCATCTCTGTTATTTCAGAAATCCTATTTTTAAATGAACAGTTCTTTTAGGAAATTCGAAATCAAAAAAACAATTCAGTTTAGATTCCGTGCAAACTCAAAAATGTATTTTGACAAACATTCAAAAAAATATTTTACATTCAATTGTCTTATAGGACAGTAGACCAGTTAGGTTAGATTGTACATTGAATTTGTTATGGAATTAAATGATATTTTTCTTTTTTTATTAAACCATAATATTTGAAGGGCACAGGGTAGAACAGTAGTAGTCCATTTATGAAAATTTTATAGTATAGTAAAAACAAAGTTCGTGAATTCCTCTCTCTCTTACATAGGAACAAAATAAATCACATTAAGTGCTATTCTATTAAAAAAATTATTTATTTAAACAATCTATTGACATAAATAAAACAAATTAACGGCATATATTGAAAAAAACTGAAGAAAAAAATTTTATAAATGGGCTACTACCGTTCTTCCCCTGTGCCCTTCATTTTAAATTGGCGAAGTCAGTTTCTCTTTTTGATATGATCAATTCAAGAGCTGAGTTAGTGTTTAAAATATTTTTAGTTAAACATAAAAAAAACAAATGTTCGAAGCATCAAATCAGTTAGGGGTACAACACTACTACTACAGATATTATGCATTTAAAAATACTTATAAACCTTTCACCTTTCCTTCGTTCGAAAATATGTGAAAACTTTGTCTTGAGAGGTCTGACGACTAAACTGCTATTAGTCTTATTACGAGTTATGCGGTAAGTTGTTGTGTTTAATTAAACCGTATTTGTTTAGAGGGAGAAAATTGTAAAGCCTGTGTAGCAGCCATCACGTTTATTTTAAAGAATTCAGCTTGCCACGCTGTGCCTCAAAACTACCTTACTAACGAATTGCAACAGGTAATTAAACTTTTATACTTAAACACTGGTATCCATTTACATTAGCGTTTGACTTGATTATTTTTCCCAAAATATAGGTTTCAATGTTGAGAATTGTTTTTCTGGATCCCTTCCTCTTCCTGTTTGAGCAAACCGTTTTTTCGGTATATTACAAATTATACCTATTTAATATAATTTCCTGCGAGTTGGCTTGAAAGCAAGATAATTTAATTAATATATTTTTTCAGTCAAGAAAAAACGTCACATAAGTCTTGGTGATTTATGCTATTAAAATATATAGAAATTCTAAAAAATATTTTTATTTAACCCATAACTCGAAAGAAAAAATATTAAACAAATTTTTTTTTAACACAATACTTCATCGTTTTTATCATTGAAAAGTGAGTTTTTGAGTGAAAAAAAAATGGAAAAATCCTTTGATATTGTAACATTTCAAAGTGCAACTGAATTACAAGTGATTTATGTGTATATTATATTCACAGTTTATCTAAGATATTAATTATTCCAGATAGGTCTACCCCGTGAACACGCCTTGGCCTTGTGTAAGGTGTACTCGGACAATCTGCCCGAAATCACCAAAGCGCTGAAAAATTCTTCTTTGCAAATTGGCCGAGTCAAAGATGTGGACGTATCCAAAGAAACCGACGATGAATATTCAATGAAGTTGAAGTTTTCCAACGCTTTGGGTAAATTGGAAGAGAAAAAATTCGCCGTGACCAAAGAACAAATTCAGCTGTTGATCGCCGGTAAATAGAACTTTTGTTAAACTCAACGAAATAGAAACTTTTTCAAATAAACTATCGACTGTGAAAATATTAAACGATCAAAACACACAGATTATTTTAATCAGAACAAGTATACGATAAAAGGGTACATTTTTTTTTTATATATATGTATAAATAACTTTCGCCGTGCAATTTCGGATCTGGTTAGGTTCCTAACACATCAGACACGCGTGGGTGTATTGTACATCTTTGTAAATTAAGTATACTAAAACAATTAAGCGGCAAAGCACGTGAGAATCGTTAATAATTTTAATACGGCATTTTAAATACCTAGCCAATTATTATGGTACGCCGCAACGAGTGGCAGATGGCCTGCAGGTCTAACCGGATTAAAATATTTTGTATTAATTCGATTTATCTTTTCTCTTCTTAAATTTGCAACTCATGAATTTTAAGTAGATGGATAATGGGAAACCTTTCGGCATGATAATAATAATATTTCTAAGAAGCATACCGTTGAAAACGCCAACATTCAAAACTTAAAATACTTCATCGAAACGCCATCATATCCGTTTTAGTGTATTTTATATAGATTTGTGTAGTTAAAAAAAAAAACTATTTTTTTTTTCTAGTAAATAGAGTATATTTAAGTTAATTATTTTTTTTTGAACAATTACGTCCAACGTATTGCATTTATATTTGATTTATTATTAACTTGTCTCGAGATCAGCTCCGGTTTTATTCCCAACAACAACAATATACCTTGCTGTTTAATAAAGCATTCGCATAGTGCACTAAATAAAATAGTAATTAAGTGCATTCCGTGCGGGGCTTTGACTTAATGAACAAACCATTGTTATTTTCCGAGAAAATCGAAAAACCAAGACAAAATGATAATTCTATGTAGGTGTACGAAATTAATTAACATCGACAAGTATATTAATTTTAAGAGGTGCCTACCATTATTCCATGTTTTGAATCAGCATGACAGATTTTACTCGGCGTTTTGAATTTTTTCATAATTTTTATTGTTTCTTACTTACCACGATTGGGATACTTTGAGCAAATGGTTTAGGAATCGTGACCCTCCCCCCCCCCCACCACCAAATGATTTTTAAAATAAAATTTCCCAATTACACTTACCCAAAGTATAAGGTATTATAATGTCCAAAATAGTAGTCCTGGATTTTTGAAAATTACTACTAGGGAACGTTACAGATTTACTTAGTCTATACTTACGAGTATTACCCCGGAAATAAATCCAAGTTGCGTTACTACTTTGAACTAAAATAAACTGCGATAAACAAATATTGTTATCCTCTTGATTTATAAATAGCATCAAATTTATTTAATTACAGAATTGTGATCACCGGAAAAATAAAATAAAATGAATTTCTAGTATACCTATAATTATTTTAAATTATTAAATAATTAAATAAATTGTTTTTTAGAGTTCAGCGACGTCGCTGAAAGAATGACCGAGTTGGCCCATGAGTGTAAGCAATAGAAGGTTCAGTTCAGTTTGGGAAAACAAATGTTGGCAATATATATACATATATATCTATTGTAAAACTACAAATTATGTTTGTTAATGTTAACAAATTGGTCTATACTAAGTATTGTTTTCATGATGTATATGATTTAATATACATATTTAATAAATAATTTTTCTTATAAAATATCGTTGGGCTTTGTTATAGAATATTTTCTTATTTAAATACTCAAATTTTCCATATTATATAATTATAAAACTTTATAATAAATATATATATATATATATATATATATATATATATATATATATAAAACATTAAAATATAATACTTGTTTGTTATTTTTTAAATGAAGTTCAATCAGTCATTGTTGAGAACTGGTGTATTCAACGTGCCATAATTTTAGATTGTGTGATAACTATATCGAAAAATGTATCGTTATTACATAAACTAATTAATTCGAATTTTATGGTTCTGAAAATCTTCACTATGACTTATTAATTGAATACTTATTATCTAGACTTAACTTATTTTGACCAAACATCAAAGAATAAACAGAATTATGTGCTTTAAAGATTTTTACCTTGTATATACAAATGAACGTAAATATATATATATATATATATATTTTTTTTTTTTAAATGGTACACAGTTTAACAATAACTTTTTTTTATTTATAAAAATAACAGGCATTAATATATTGAGCTATTCCTTTTGGTTGTTAACAAATGTTTGTTAGTCATTGGGAAACCAATTAATAAACAATTAATTTCATTATTACAACAGTCAACACTGTTTGAAATAATAATTTATACTTAAATACATGTTTATTATGTGCTTATTACATGTCCCTTAAAAATATTTTTCCTTTTAAAAAAAAATCCCCCATAAATATTTTTATAAACTAAACATTCAACCTAACAATATTAACAATCCGTCTTGGAACACAAAAACAATTTTCAAAAGTTACGATAGGAATTTTAAAGCCTTGCCGATTTGAGATGTTGTGACTAGATATTATAGTTACAAATTAAAAATGTTCGTCTGTTTTTTTCTTGAATCATTAAACAAATTTGGATTCAAAATCAAAAAAAATGATTTAGCTATAAAATGGTAACAATTCATTACAAGGCACGACTGTGTTATATATATAAACAATATCGACTTTCACATTTTTTTTAGTCTAGTACTGATAAAATCATAAGTAGAGAAACTTATTCCAGTAGCGATAGGGCCTTTTATCCAATTCATGCTTAAGCCCTTGAAAAATCCCTGGATTATACCTTCGGACCTAGAAAATAAAAACGATAAATATTATGTGAACAAGATTTATATTTGTGAATGACTTTGTAAACGTGTTCATTAAATAAAGAAATTAACACATTCAATTTTTGGATGAACGAGAAAGATTATTTTTTATTAATTTAACAGACATCCGCGATAGTGATGTAGTTTTTAAATTTTATTATTAATATATGAAAAAACCACAAGTGATAATGATAGTTTTTTATCTTTGATTGAAATACCTAACTCAATTTTTCTCTAATTAAAAGATAAAAACTCGGTTAAATTTATTACAGAATATTAATAGGCGTATTATATTATCTGATAAGTAATAAGTTATGTAAGACATTTAAAAAAAAGTACATATGTAATTTTTTATTATTTGAGTAACCGCCATAATGTGAACATTATCAATTAATAACCCAAATAGCTTATACAAGACGCCTATGAATCAAAAGTGCAGGCGACTCATGGTCGCAGGTGTTCTCATTTTTAATTTGCTAGTGTTGTTAACAATAAAAATACGTCCATTACGTCAATTAAAACTCAATGTTCATTTTTTTTTTTTTTTAACAAGTAAAAAGTATTATTTGATTGATTCACCTGTATACTATCCAAAACGTAGTCCTAAGGCTTTTGTAATTGTTTCCGGTAATTATTGAAGTCTGCATCTTTCGTCTGATTATGTCTAGAGGATAGGAAGACGATTGTCCAGCCATACCGGCCACCGCTCCGCACGATAAATTAACAAACGCATTTTCGTATCCGTGTTTATCTGTACAGAGAAAATTATAATTTACATTGTACGACAATTTTTCGAGTGAGAAATGAGAAATATTACAAATTGTAGTACTTGCCTTTGATGAACGCTTTTAATGTTCCATACGTAAAAAAACTCGTGCCTGCGTACGGTATAATGCCTAGTATCGTTGGTACATAACCTCGATAAAAGCCTTTTACACCTTCCTCTAGGTATGTTTTTTTGAATACCTGTCAAAAAAAAAAATTGACGTTACAAGCTAAACTTGGTACATTTAAATTTTTAATTGAATTTCTTTATCTGTTGTCATTTGCAAAAGTGAGTAGTCAATTGTTTTTTTTAATTTAATGATTTTATAGAAAAATGTCTACAATACATTCTTTTCTAAGCAAAAACATAATTTTTTTTTTATACACAATATATAATTATTTAGGTAAATAATTTACATCTCCTAATGATTTGTATTCATTTATGGTAGTAACAGCCATGCGTGCTCTCGCCAAGTCCAAAGGATAGGTTAAGGTTTGTGATGTCACTCCGGCTAATGAACCAGAAATAAACTTTCGGCCTCCATTGTTACTGTAAAAGTGATGTAACGATACAAATAATTAATCACAATGTTTATTATATATTGTCATACGCATTATAATTTTATTTGGATTCATTAAATTTCTAAAATATAAATGGTAAAAATTGTGTTCAAACTAATTTTTTTAGTAAAGCTTATATTTTATCAATAATAAATATTTGTAATAAACGTAAATTAACGTTAAACCAGGGAATATTTAATTGAAATAACAAATAACTAACAGTGTTTTAAGTTTTTTAAGAGAACAGTCATACCCTTTTTTATGAGTTTATGGAAAGCAAGTAGGTCAAAGCAAAATGGTCATCGAAAAAAAATGAGTAGAACTACTAGATTCTGTCTTTGGTATTACAGAAAACTAGAATTTTACCTTAAATACAAGCACTTGAACAATTTTTAAAAATTAAGATTGTTAGGTTAATAATATAAAAATAAACCGACAAGAGAACCTAGATAAAGTTCCCATTACTTTAAATAAGTAAAAAAAATTGTATAAGATTATTATTTAGATAATAATAGAGAATAATATGCATAGCTATGTTTATATGAAAATATTTTTTTTAAAACGCTCTTAAGGATGCTGTGTTAATCAAAAAAAATCAATGAACTACCTACCGAAAAAATAATCCTATTGCTCAACTAATAATCTACAAATAACAACAGTTTAACCTTTAAATTAAGATTTTGCAAAAACGATTTTGCCTATACCTAACTTCTTAATAAATGGGGGTATGACGTCCTCTTAATACATTTTTAATTATTGTTTTAAATAATACTTTATTCGGTTTTATAACTTTAATTTTTCAAATATAAATTTTAGTTTTTCTTATTTTACAAATATTTTTCTTTAATAAATAATGGTTAAAGTTAGTTAGTTATAAGTGGTTCTTTTTTAGCCCAGATAAACCAAGATTAAAGATTAATACATCTTAATACATTTGTGTCTAACAGTTTGGTTTTGAGTTCCAGAATTTTGTTTTAAACCGTTTGGCTATTCAAGTTAATTAAAATCCAAAAGGTTATTACTTTATGTTTGTAGAATCGACCTTCAGAACTTTACGCCACTGTTCGAATGCTGTAAACTGAATTGCAGCATAAGGAATAATCCTGGTCATAGTAGCCGTATTTCCACGCCATAACCAGAAAAACCCATTTCTCGCATAAGTCTCTGACAAGAATTTATACGCCGCTTTCGCTGAATATGGCACATTTGATATCTAATCATCGACACAACGTACCATTAATAAAATTTAACTGTTATATCAATATTATTTCATGCAAATAATATAATAGACTTGCTTGGAAATTTATTTTTGTCCTGTCCAAAGGAGCTATAGTACTCTTGGCTAAAGCGCCGGCAACAGCTCCGGATAACAAACTGTTTATTACTTGCCTGGTATTATTGGAGTATTCATTCTAAAGAAAAAAAAAAAATTGTACAATTAGAGTAAATTATAAACAAACCGTTTATCAATTGAAAAATGAAATGATTACATTTTTGTCAATTGCCATCATGAGGCACGGTGTGGCTGGTGAATTTTCTCATATCCTATTATTTGTATATTAAACATTTAAAATAAATAATTCTTTTTATTTTTGGCAACTATTAAACATTATCAGCCTTGATATAGAAATAACATGAACAGGAAACGATTGCGTTGTTCCGCGCGTTAACACTTAAGAATTGAATTATTGTACACACAAGACACGGCCAATGTTGTTTTGCCCGAATGAATTGACGTCTAGCCTACATACTTTTTTTTTTATCCTACCTACTTAGTCCATACAATTATTAACAACAATATAGTTAACGTCTTGATAAAAGTACTCGAATTTCATTAATAATAATCTTTTGTTATCTTCATCACGTTGATAACAAACACCTGGCCGTTTGCTTGGTAATTGGTTTGGTAATATCTGATCAAACGAGTATAGTAATATAAATTACCTACAATTTCACAAGGTATGATATTTAAACGTATGTTGTGTAATTATTATTTTTTACGTTAAACCTACTTTAATGTCCTTAGTCAATTCACTTGTTTATTGTATACACATTTTATTAAACGATAATAACGCTATAGTAATATATTATGAGGTTCTATGTAAACTTTATTTTATTTTTTATTTTAATTAACGCCGAATGTTTGACCCAAAGGGCAATATCCCAACAATACACCATTAGAATTTAGATTAAAAACAGAGTTTAGACTAATTATTAATAAATACTATTATGATTAATTTGGTCTAATGTGTATTGCAATATATTATGCATAATATACATCATAAACTAGCAAACCAGTAAGACAAGGGTTTTAATAATAATAATAATAATATATACTCGTATAAAACGAGTAATCGATAAACAACGACACCGAGAAACATGTCATGAAGAACCGAAGTAAAAAAAGGACAAAATATATAGTTTGTCCCATAAGTCCAGAGAAACTAAAGGATTTTATCTATTTTACTTTAAAAAATATTTTCTCTTAGGGTTGACAACGATCGACGACCAATTTTTTTTTATAATTAAGTTTTATAACGGGAGTGTTAAAAAACGTTTAGTATTTACTTTACGTTAGGTACATATTTTATCTTTTTTTTCTGTGATACAACCTATTAGGGTAGCTTTTTGTTTAATCCGTGTCGAGTGTTCCCCTAATCGACTTCGGTATTAAATTAATAATTAGAAATGTGAATAATTAATGATGCCTGGGTAAAATAACCGAAATTTGATCACTGGAAAACTGGTCTCGTAAAAAAATATATAGCCCCAAAATAATAATTTAATATAAAATTACTTTTTTAAGTTCTCAAATACATGTAAAAGTTCTGTTACAACTTGAATTTAAAAAAAAATCAAATTCCAAGATGCTAGTACTTTTTTTTAATAGTTGGTTTTTATGATACCGATTGTTCTGTTTACTCCTAATTTATACACAAACGATTTTATTTTTGGTATATTAACTTTTGATTTTATTATTACTAAATTCCGATTTATTTAATGAAACAAATAAAAAGTAGTTACATAATTATTAACGCACAAAGTCTCACAACATCAAAAACGAAATTTATATATGTGTATATATAAATTAAGGCAATGAAAAGGCAATTATTATTCGTAAATAAATAATTGCCTTGTCCATCGTTTGTTCAGACATTAACATTACATTAATATTAATGTAGATACCAGTCATGCACATATCTAACAAATTAAACGAATTCTTTATTACTTTTGGAATATTTTCGTATTTGTTTTTAAACATTTTGACCGGGAAAAACGAGAAATAGGTATGTCAGCATCTTGTGTTATCAACTGTCACAATGAGGCTGCTAGTTTTCTCCCCTAAGAAATACACGGCCGCTTGTAAACGCTGGAAGCCATTTTGCATTTAACGTAAATTATTAACATACCTACATTTTTTTTCGTCATGATTTATCAGAATAATCAAACAGCTGTTCATAACGATAATGTGTTATCATAGAGCGGACACGTTTCATTATCATATCTTGTAAGTGATAACTGGACCAGATTGCTGTCCGGTGACTGGTGAGAGTGGCTTAGAGCAACGGGTAATTACTAATATATACTTACTTTTCAGTGGGCTTTTACCGTGTACTACACAGCAGTCCCAGTCTATAAATTCATGCATATTTTCTATTTACGTAACGTAATGTGTCTGTAATAATTAACCGATTCAAAGTTCAACCGTACAAAATTAAATTAAACAATTATCAAAAATGGCACGTAAGTAAAAAGCTATGTTCGAAATGTATTAGATAATCGTATGAAGTTAAAATTGTCCAAATTATATTTTTAATTGCCGATATAATAATATTTATGGTAGAAGTGCTATACATGAACTTATAGTAAAATAACTGTATAAAAAATAAAGTTTATCAAACAAAATGATAATTAAAGTTACAGATGAATATTTAAAAAATACATAATTAAATTAATTCTTACATAACAGCGATAAAGATATTGGCGTCTACGATATTAGCTATTTAAAAAACTGAAAAACATATTTCAAATACAATTTACTAATCTTTATAACTGTTTATTTGTATTCCATTATTATTTCAAATTTCTTTTGAATCTTCGAATAAGTTGTATTAAATAACTTAATTTCTATCTTGCAAAAAAAAAAAAAACTGGTCTTTTCTTTAATAAAATTTACAATTTTTTACAAATAACAAATAAATGTAATATTATAATTTTACTAATAATGAAAACATTTAAACAATGACAATTAAAAATGGTAGTCAAATAATTTTATAATTAATATCAATTAAATAAAATGTGTACTATAATTTTGTAATAATGGTGTGGCAAACTGTTAGTATAGTTGTCTCTCGGTAATCCGGCTAAAGCATTATCTGGCCCCCAGTTTGCTCAAAAAAACAATAAAACTGTCATTCCAAGAAAAAAGCAAAATAAAATTTTTAGGACTTGTACAATAAAGTATTTATAAAAGTTAATAAAGTTCATAATATTTTGTACAATAAATATATATAAATAAACATATATACATTGATTTTACTTGTAAAATTTTTTTTTTTAATTAACCTCCAAAAATCTGGTGTTTTTGTTATCAGACAGTCCTCGGGTCTAATATATACCGGATAGATAAACTGGAGACTACTGTTGAACTTTTTGATACTTAGTTTGGTTTTCAAATATCAAACTAAGGAATTATGCGTTCTGGCCAATTTTCAATTCTGTATTCAGTAATTGTCACATGTCAGATTTTTACATCATAATTTATTTGACAAAAATGTATTGTTTTTTTGTTGCTATAACAGTTTTTAGTTATGAGGTTTATTTGGAATTTGTTTTTAAATATTTTGAGGTCTGGTTTAATTTTGAAAGAATAAGTCGGTCTTCTTCAGTTTTTGATTTTAAAAAAAAAATTACTAAATTACTAATTATTTTCAATAAAAAATCTCTGTTTACAAAAACAACAACTATTGAATTTTGTTAGAGCGATGGTATTACAGGATACAACCTGGAACTACTATAAACAAGACTAGGATAATGAAGGACATTCGTAAAAGAATAATGATTAAACTAGCAATTGTGTTAGCTTATTTTAATGTAATAAAATAATATTAATTATTTTTATATAAGCGAAGGTCATAAAAACATAGACCTTTATTTTATTCATGAGCTTGATCAATTGACATGTAATCTTAATGACATGGTATTAAATTATACAAAACAACTATACATAGGTCAATGTTATAAAACTATTAGTAACGTTTATTAGTTTGTTTTTTTAACACATCTTTTCTGCTACCAGTTTTTTTTTATACTTATGTCACAATATATTTTATTATCATAAATTTATAACTGTCAATACTTAGTACATAGTTTATGTTTTACATAAATATAAATATACATAAAAAAAATGATTTCTTAATAATAAATATTTATAAAATTATAAATGTATAATATTTAATTACTTTTAAATAATTAATTCCTACTTTATTCTACGTTTATGAATAGCAAATATACCTTGGACAATATAATGTTTTCATGTGTTACACTTAATCTTGGTCTAGGCTAAAAATAATCAAACATACACTATTTAATTAAGTATAATTATCTATATTATTTATACCGTCGTTATTGTTTTTATTTCTAGATCCATTTGAAAAACTTAAGAAAACTATCAATGTTAACAACAAGCAATACAATTATTTCAACTTACCAGAATTTGGCGTTGAGTATAGTAAGCTATATATTCCAAATTTTTTTTTGTGTTTATATAGTGGTCAATTTGTAAGAAGCAAGGCTCAAATTAAAAAAATAAAAGTAGAAGGACGTTTTCACTTTTAAAAAAAGAATGTACCCGGCATTTTTTACCCCTAAATCGGCAATCGGCCAATCTATATTTTCTGTAGATTATCCTCAGCTTTTAAAGTTAATATATATATTAACTTATTAATATATATATACACTATTACCATTAAAAAGTTTTTTTTTATTGAGGAAACCCCCCCAAAAAAAAAAGTTAGATGGTTACAAATACATTTATTGTCAATAACATGATTTATATTTAATAACTTTTTCCATCTACATTTTTGCATCAAGTCTCAAATTAGTTTTATCAATTTCAAATAAAATATTTCCTAAAGACCTCCTCAACTCCGACCTAGAGTTTAATTTTTTTTTTCTAATTTTTTAGACCAACTGCCATTTTCTATCAGAGTTCTCCTCGAGTCTGCTGTCAGAAACTGTGATAATTTTCAAGTCACTGAAGCAGATGTTGAAAAAATCTTGAATTGGAAAATCAACCAAACTTCTGATGTAGAAGTCTCGTTTAAGCCGGCTAGAGTGATCTTACAAGTAATATTGATGGTTATAAGTTATACATTAAATTTATTATAAATCATTTTTATTAAAGGATTTCACTGGAGTTCCCGCTGTGGTGGATTTTGCTGCTATGAGAGACTCCGTCAAGAACTTAGGCGGTGATCCAAACAAAATTAACCCAGTTTGCCCGTCCGATCTGGTTATCGATCACTCCATTCAAGCTGATTTCGTCAGAGAGTAATTATTTAACTATAAACAACGAGTTTTTAGTTGATGATAATTATTATTTTATTATAACTTTTAATTTTAGGGCCGATTCTCAGCAAAAAAATGAAAATCTTGAGTTTGAACGTAACAAAGAAAGATTTACATTTCTCAAGGTAAATAATATTTATATGATTGTATAACACCCGTTACTTAATCTGTGTATTATTTTACTGAACTTTGTTACATTTTTAGTGGGGCGCCAAAGCTTTTAAGAATATGTTGATCGTTCCACCCGGATCTGGAATTGTGCATCAAGTCAATTTAGAATATTTAGCCCGTGTTGTTTTCACCGACGGAGATACTTTATATCCAGATTCTTTAGTTGGAACCGATTCGCACACGACAATGATTAATGGATTAGGTGTTTTAGGATGGGGAGTCGGAGGTAATATAAATTTACCAGAATTCATCTGGGCAAACAAGTGAATGAACTGTAACTGTACGACATATCTACATTTCCCCTCCACCCTTGGATAATTTGTCTGAAAAAAAATATTCAAATAAAATAACTGTAAATATTATATGAATAGAAAGTGAGATTGGGTATAGAAAAAAAAGAGGGACACAGAACTGTTTTGTTAGGAATAAAAAACAATATTTAAATATATGAACTAGCAATTATGAAAATGTTAAGGCCAACTTGTGAAAAAATGCCTAGGTGACAACTATTAAAAATTGGTTTCCAACAAATTAAAGAAAAACTTCTCACCTACAATTTTTATAATATGGTTTTTTAATCAAAAACCACCCAATAAGCCGTGATTTTGGAATTAGAAAACTTTGTTTAGATGAAAACAATATTTAAAATCGCTGACAAAGATGCTGCGATAGTCTGAAAAATATTATGTCCCCTTAACGCACAAAAAAGCATTAATTAAAGTGAGATTTATCACATTTTTTTTTCATGATAACAGTAATAGGTCAAACCGAAAATAAATTTTAATGTTTTCAAAAAAAATTTAACTTTTAACCTTATATTTCTAATATGTATAAATAATATTTACCAATATTTTCAAAATGTATTTAGATTATAATTTGGCAAGAAATTAGACTCTGAGACATAATATTTAAATACTATTTTCTATATCTTATAAATCTGAAAACTATACAGTTGTTTTTAGTCTAAAAAATAAAATATTATATTAGAAAAATTATATTTTAAATGAAAATACTTCTAAATTGCTGTGCAAGTAAAATTCCAGAGGTATGCCCTACGGGTATAATAGTGTTGCCAGGTTTTACATTAGTTGCCATCTGTTGTCACTGTTGACTCTGCCCATTTTGAAAAAGTAAAGTATAGGCAATTTTTGATGTGTTTTTGCAACTGTAAAGTGTAATTATAAGTTGAATGAAGACTTTTTTTTTTTGCTAATTAATTTATTTTTTGTACTATCAAAGCATCTTTGAGAGCGAATTAAAAAAAAAAATTTGTCTTAACAGAGCTTCACATATTCTCTATTATTGACTAAATACTAATCTTAGAAATTTTTTTACATATTAAAATATAGGAAATTTATAATAATGGGAACATTATGTAGGTTCTCACGTCGGTTTTTTTTTATTTTATTAACCCAACATTTACAATTTATATTTTTATTCTGACATTTTATTACCTTTTTAAGTGCTTGTATTTAAAGGGCCTCTACACTAGCATTTATTAAAGCGCATTGTTTAGGCAATTTTTTGCTAAAACTTGACATAAAGCTAAAAAAAATTAAAGGTTCATCCATAAGAAAGAAGAATCTATTTTGATATTTAATTTTTTATTTCAACTTTTATAACGATACATGATCTATTTTTGTACAACTGCATATGTTTCTACTTCAAACTGAACTTAACTAAAAATACTCTGATTTGAAATCTTCATAACATTTTCAAGGCATCGATTGTGGCACAATTTTAAAATATTTTTAGTTAATTAATTATTTCAGCGTAAAAAATGCAATTTTTTACTTTATTTAAATTAAATAATTAATTAACAAAAAATAACATTAAAACTATGCTACGATCGATGCCTTGAAAGTGTTATAAAGTTTATAAATGTTTTTTCAAAACTTAAATAGGAGTATTTTTAGATAAGTTCTGTTTTAAGTAGTGGTTTTCGACCAAAAATACTTATGTGTAGACCCCCTTAAGGTAAAATGTAAGTTTTCTAAAAAAAAACGACGAGAGAACCTAGTTTAAAGTCTTCTCTTTTTAATGGTAACAAAATTTATAATATCTTATAACACGGTTACCGTTAAGTTTCTTTACGTCTAAATAATGGTTAGTCTAAAGTTCTGATATTTGTTGTGTTGGCCTGCAAAGAAGTGTGATTTCTATAAAAGTAATCAGTGATACTTATAATTAATAATTATATTTAAATTCATTTTTCTCTTTTGTAGGTATTGAAGCTGAAGCAGTAATGTTGGGCCAAGCTATTTCAATGTTGCTTCCTCAAGTCCTTGGGTACAAGATAACAGGAATTCTTAACCAGTTTGCAACATCAACTGATTTAGTTCTAACTATCACAAAAGTAAAAATTGTTTCGTTCATCACTTACAATGACATTTTAATTATTTTTTTTTATTAAATTATTTATTTTCCTTGTTTTAGCATTTGAGACAAATCGGAGTAGTTGGCAAATTTGTTGAATTTTTTGGACCTGGAGTCGCTCAACTGTCTATTGCCGATCGAGCCACTATAAGTAATATGTGTCCCGAGTACGGAGCTACTGTGGGTTTTTTCCCAGTCGATGAGAACACCCTTTCTTATTTAAAACAAACGAGTACGTCAACATACTTTAACAAGCACAAATTTTAGTGGCTTTCATAAGAACACGCTATACTACACAATTTATTATATTATGCTTGCTAATAAAATATTGTTCAAGTGTTCTAATTCAAAAGTTAGACATTTAACTAGTTGCCAAAATGACTGCCTAAATCAAAAATTTTATTTTTATCTAAACACTTGAATAGTGAGTACAATTAAAAGTATATGTATCAAAAACTACTTGGATCATTTTTTAAAAAAATACTAGTTAAAATAAATTTTTTATTAATTTGACAGCGTATTAGCAAAGAGCATAGCATTAAAACTTCTAGTTTTATAGAAGAGTTACACAATGTTATAATTATATATTTTATTACAAAAATTAACCCAAAATGTTATAAAAAATTTCTTTCAGAATTTAAAAAAAAATAGTTTTGATATCACACTATTTGCTAAATATGTCTTATTATGTACATAATACAATTTCCTATGAGATAAAAAAATTATTACATAAATCAAAAACTCTCCAAATTGAGTAAGTTTAGTTTTTTTTTTTAAATAATTTTATCTTTTTACATTTTTTTATTCTAAATAAAAAATGTATTTAAAATAACTTCTTTAAATCATAAAATTGAATCATAGAGCAATTGGGTTTGATCTTGACCCATATTTATATTTACACAAACTGCATACAATATTAAACAAAATAATTTTTTTTTTTTAAATTAATTTTAAAAAAAAATGTATTTGTAAGTAATTAATAGATTTTTTGACCAAATTTAATAAATAGCGAAAAATGTGTTATAAAATAATGAATACAAATATTTTTGTCATGAATCATTTATAAATAGTCATAATATTAAACAAAAAATATTTTCTTATCTATTGCCTCTGAAATATAATTGACAATTACATCAAAATTAATTTAATTCTTATGATATAAAACAATATTGATGATTCTAAAAAATTAAAAATGTTTATAATTATTAAGTTCTTAATTTAATTTAAATTAAATTAAAAAACAAAGCAAGATTTCCTGTATTGTATAAGGTTTAACTATTAAGATGTACACATTATAATTTATTTGAACAATATTACTTAGCATATTATATCATCATTTTTGTATATACATGTATTATCTTAACTTTTTCATTATTATTCTTCATAGATCGTAGCGCTGAAAAAATAGCTGCAGTTAAAGCTTACCTGGAAGCTTCTAAAATGCTAAGAAATTATGATGATCCTTCTCAAGATCCAGTTTTTAGCCAAGTTACAAATTTGGACTTGGGGGACGTTGTTCCATCAATAAGTGGTCCCAAGCGACCACATGATCGTATTTCAGTTTCTGAAGCTCAAAAAGATTTCCAAAGCTGTCTCACAAATAAGGTAAGAAAGTATTGGCTTTTCTATTTTTAGAATCATAATTTTAAGTAGAAAGATAATGTATTATCAAGTCAAATTTTAATTTGATAAAATGTTATTGTAAATTAAAAAATAAAATTGATATCATCAGTTAGTTTAAAAATATTTGGATCAGTTGTATATAGCAGTAATTTTAATTTGATAAGTTTTAGGCTCAGCTTGTTTCAGGCTTGAATTGTAGATAATGTACACCTATATAATTAAAAAATATAGTGTGATTGTGCAATTTATCATAACATACAATACTGGTTTAGACGATAATGTTAAATTAATAAAAAAATTATAAGAGCTATTATTATCAGTTATTTTACTTGATTTTAAACACAAATTATTCCATGCATAGTTGTCTTAATTCATAATAATTTTCATAACTTTAATATTATAGTATAAAATTATTTATTAAAGATATTATTACCTTAGTCGATAAATTTATGTTGTCTGGTAAATTGACGATGAAATACAAAATGCACGCTTCATGAATTGTCACCAGTGATAATGTTTAAATTAAATAATATCAACTGGAAGCAATTCACGACGCTCGCACTAGTTTTCGTTTAAACATTTAAAAAAATATACATTTAAATTACTCACGGTGAAATAAAACAATTTTAAATAGTCTTGTTTGAAATGATTTTCAGTCAAAGCAAAATGTGTACTCGAAGAATTCGTTTTTGAATAACTAATGGAAATTTGTGGTGATGTTAATGTCTTTTATAAGAGATGGCTTGATTTATTTAATTATCTCACAGTTTTGTTTGCATTAGTCATTTTGAGATAATGTGTCTGTTGGCCGTGTGGACTTTGAATGTGTTTTTCCATACTTTTGTATTGTGCCTTACAATAATATAACTTACTACAATGTTGATAGATAATTATCGTCATTTTATATTAGACACGCGCATAATAGTTTATAATCTTTTTTTATCAATATTAAAAACCACAATGACCATATTAAATATTATTTTTCTCGTCAACGTATTTAGATATAACATGCATACATTAATAATAAACGTTCATTTATTTTATACAATAAACGAGTAACGACATATCAGTTGTTTGAAAAATATTATCAAAATTGTGAAAAACAAACACGATCTATAATAATTAACTCGTGTACACAGACGCGTTTTCTCAGTATTTTCTTAGTGTGAACAATTGTTTTTTTTTTGTGTAAATTTAACCTCGGGCTCGAGTGGTTTTCTCACTTAATGTACTTAATTAATAGTTTTTCTAAAAAATCTAATAAATAGCAGATTAACATTATATGGACACTTATTAACTATTTTTTTATATATTATTTATTGTTAAAATAATATTATTATACAAATAGTGTAGTCGGTTATTAGTTCAGAAAGGAATTCAAAAATCTCTGTGTTTTAAGAATATCATTTACTTCAGTGAAATATTGTCATCGAGGAGAACATTTTTATAAACTAATTAACTATTATAGTTAATCGTATTTTTTTATTTTTTGACAACTTAATAATTAGTTTCTATCTCGTCGGTACCATAAAATACGTTCAAAAACTAATTTTCTGTAGATTTTGTTTTGAAATATAATACTATTATGTAAACCATAATAGATATTACGCGAATGATTATTATCATATTTATTTAGACTCAGTTTTACAAAAGATTTTGATAACAGACTCGATTTTGTTCCCCAAACTTGTTCTTCGAATTTTGAGTATATTAATAAGAAATGATAAATTGTCGTTATTGATTAATTAATATTAGTATTATTATTACTATTACTATAACTGTTATGCACTTATAGTAATGGGTTGTGTCCCTTCAAAGTTGTACCTAAAACATTGTTAATCTTTGTATGAAGTTAAATTTGTTTTTTCTGAGGCTCATTCCGACATACACTACTTGTCATGCCCGAAAACTGAATTTTTCGGTAATTACCAAAAATTTGATAACATAGTAGCACGGTATTTCATATTGTGATATAAACAAACTGTAAATCTGTAGAACATAATTCATTTATGAACACGGCTCTTAAAATAAAGGAAATTGTCAATGTGATCAGGAATTAAGAAAATAAACATAAATAAGGGAACAAAATTGGGACTGTAAGTTTTCTATTGTGAGATAAATCTGAACAACGAGTAAAGACGCGATCAAAATCGAAAAGCACCGCCTTGTCATGATGAAGTTAACACAAGAGATTTTAAAGAAATATGATACGAATGAACAACAAGATAAATTATGGGATAAACGAACGTGGGAAAATGATAGTTGAAACAGTATGTTCTATATTATTTACTATTTTGAAGGAATTTGTTCAATTACGTTTTTAGTACTATAATAGCAACTAAACATTTCATTCTTTTAATTATATTATATAACAATTATTACATTAGAATGTGTGTAAATATGTTTTTTTATTTATAAAATACTAATCAGTGTGGCTAATAAAAGGTGATTTTGTTGCGAGATAAAGAGGTGCCAGAGTACAACAATTGCATAAAATGTTCAATAACATGTTTATCTTAATGACAGTTTTATTATTACTTATTAAACATAAGTACAAATTTGTTAATCATTTAGAAACTCTAGGCAATAGATTATAGTTATGTATCTTAAAATCCTAGCTATTCCAAAATTGTAGTTAATATTTCCTAAATAAGAAAAAGTTAAAATTGTAGAAAAAAATAGGTTGGATGCATAGCCTCTTAAAATTTGAAAATTTACCATGTCGATTTTAAAAAAACCTTGCCACAAAACTATTGGCTCGCATTTATAATACACCTGTTGTTACCGCGCGTGTGAACTCTACGCTCTACTCTTAGAAGTTCTATAAAACAAAAGGTTAATAAATTAGGTTTTAAAACTATTCTGTTTAATAAAATTGCCAGTCACCACAACGACTGGCTAAAGACCGATTGTGTCGAGTTTTGGGGTGAAGTTCACGACATTTAAACTATTTGTTGTATTTAAATAACAATGTCGTTTTTGCGAGGGAGGAAAATCTCTAGTACACTTTTCGGACCATAATCCACACCCCAAGGATGGGGCAAATGTGCACAATTTTTTTTAGGCAGCTCGTGAAAGATTTATAACTTGTAACGAGAAATTAACACAGTAAAATACTTTTTTTCCAAGACTGGCAATTTTCCTGAGCGGTATTATCTACTGCTAATCATGCCCTAGATAGGTTTCATCACAGATTACATGAAATATATTTTCATATAATCTGTGGTTTCATGTTTTAGTCTTCTTGATGAATGCATACTTCAATTCCCTGTTAATCGCGCCTTATCGAATAACGTCTTACTCAGACAATACGATATTAGTTACTTCAAGTATATAATTATTAATTATACATTTAGAAATATCAATTGTAATTTGTATGTATTAACTGAAATAATAAGTACAAATTTTAAACGAGAAGTAACTTCCAGCAAAATATCCGGTCAACCTACATAACCAATAATAACATTTAATTATTATATTTTGTATATTTGTTCAATAAGCTCGTATGATACGTGTTATTTGAATTTGGCTTAAAATGTATATCAGAAAACTTTGGTTCTTCTATTTTTTTTTACATTAAAACAGATTGTTTTGGTTTTTTTTTTATTTTGTAAAAGCCATTCTCTTTTTGCATAATTTAATAACTTATGATTTGCCATGTTAAAGTATATTCCATACGCCATAGAATTGATTTTAGTCGTTCCACCCCAATTTAGTGTGGTTAATTAATTTTTTCCCTACAATTTAAAAAGTATATAAATTTTCAAGTAAAAATACTGATTTAAAGACTTAGTCAGGCCTTAGTGGATTTTGGATTAATGGAGTTCGGATTTTAATGCAAGATTAAGCGTTTTTTTTAGAGAATAGCCAGCAAAATACTCAATATAGTAAATATTTGCTTTTAAATCTTGTAAATTATTAATCTAAATTTGTTTTGTATTTATTTGGATACTTTTGAACAATAGGTATATTTCATGTCAAGATATTTTAGTGATATTAACTTAAATTATTGTTATTTTCACTTATTTTAATATTTCATTTCATGGTCATTTAAAATGTTTTGTTAAGCTGTTAGTAAATTAATTCTAAATTTAATCTACTATAATTAAAAAAATTATATCAACAGGTCACTTTTTTTTTTTTTAATTAAATATGTATTTTTTCGAAACAAAATCAATACTTATTTTCAGAAGTTGATGTTAAACCTCTTATTTAAAGTTTTTAGGTAGCTTATGTATTTTGTTTTAGGTCATTTTATGTGCATTTTTAGACTTTTTTAAAACCATGAATTCAACTATTGTTTTAGGTCATTAATGCATTTAATTTAGAGCCCTATTCAAACTTTAGCCATTACAATTAAACAACAAAATTTTTTTTTTTTTTTAATTAAGTTAATTGAAATCCATTCTTTATAGCGCATCAACAATTTTTTATTCGATATAAATTATTATATTTATTACTTCAAATATATTTTGCTCTGTAAAACAAATCCCTCAAAGCAATAATAATTTTGAAACCAGATAAAAAAAAAGTTTTTCATCTTCATTGTTGTAATAAAATACAATATTTATATTAATAAAATAGAAAATTTTCTATATAACATTATACCGTCAAGTTCCACATGTTTTAACTTGACAAATATTTATTATAATTTTTTAACAAATAATCATATCAGACGGCGGACGAAGGGAAAATTAAATAAAGAAATTCTCAGTGTGGATATGAAGTAGTAAGAACTAGTAGGAGGCTTATCGCTAATAACTGAGGCACAGTGACTTTAGATAAGGGAGCTCTATTGTCCGAAATTATGAAATTTAATCTGTAATGAATCATTCGCCTCAGAAGCAATATAAACGTCAACTGTCGGCCGTTTATATCGAATAGTCTAATTTGCGTTTAAATAATTATTTTTAAACAAGGTTTATTAAAATCGTATTACTATATGCGAAATAAATATTGAATATTACGACCATAACAATGCA